CTGCGTTCTGCGCTGAGTTGCGGAAGCACGTGGCATCAATACCCATCCAACGATTTCCACAAGTCGGACAGGGAAGTTGTTTCGAGCGGTTTTCAAAGCTTGCCACAATAGCTCGCGTGTTTTAATTTAGATGAGGTTGCTTTTCACAGAGACCCGAATTAGCCTATGAACTATATGGAGAATGCGGGCACGTGATTTCGGACTGTTTCAATACGGAACCAAGGAGAAAGAAGCGGAAGCGTGCCTGTACCGGTGATGTCATGACTGCCAAGGACGGGGGCTGAGGGCTTAGGATGCAAAAATTCCAGGGCTTATCAGGGCTCTGTGCTGTAGATATTCAAGGCCCAGATTACCAAGCACAGCATTAGTAGTTAACGGCGAAAGCACGTCGATTGTTTCGTTTGTGCAGGAACAGCACAATGTGTCAGAGTCCAGCGAAAAGAAGTAGGAAGATATGAGCTCCCATCGTACCAGATGCCGAGCTTTTCGAGAAGTCAGAGTCGAAGTCGTGGATACGGCTCTGGGTAAGGGCCCCAATCCGATTAGAGTCGGTTAGAAGGTGGGACATCTCTGGAACCCCGGTATGGCGCCCAGAGTCTCTTAAGACACAGCCACTCCTACGAGAGGTCGGCGGAGCTTTTGCCTCGACGCTAAGCACGGAAGCCAGAGCTGTCGGCAACGGTCCCTTGCGTGGGCTGCTCCTGTGGCTTGGCATGCAGAGTCGGTTTGATAATCTCAGAACACTGTCAGAGCTTTTGTATTTGGCTTGCCAAGCTGGCTCCGTCGAGACCAAAGCCCGAAGCCGCAAGCCAGATTCCAATAGAACCCGACCAGCCGTTGAAGGGTTTGACTGTAGAAACTTGCAACTTGGCAGTGGCCCAAGAGCAAGTCTCAGCCCTGTACTCCATAAGCCCCATAGCCTAAGAACCAAGAGCTGGGACAGATTAAACTAAACCCCATAGCGTAACCGCAACAGCCACAGTACTGCAAGCTTGTGGCTAAGTAGCTGGGTGTCAAATGGTTTCAAGACCTTTTTCTTTGCAGACTTTGGTCAAACTCGTGGTGAATGAAACTGTATACGAAGAAACCGCCGCCGTATGATCCATCTTATATCGAAAGTCTTCAAGTCTTTCACGACCGATGCACTGCACGAAGAATTAGCGGCTGCACAGTCAATGACGGGCACCGATACAATGCGCAAGGAGTGACAGGCAATCACCGGGCAGGTTGTGTTCGGGCTAGTGGTGTGCCCCGCAAGACACGTAGCCACATCTCCGACCTGCCTCCAGCTTCCTTTTAGCATGGAACATCTTGCACCTTCTGGTGGCTGTTAGCCTTAGCCAAAGTCGACGAAGAGACTCCTTTGCAGATCTGTTCTTCCCGATGCCGCGGAGCTCGCGGCAGTGCACTCCTGCCTTGGGCATGTGCAGGCAAAACTGCTGGGTTCGGTTTAGCATAATCTGTGAGTGTGGTTGTATAGTATTTTGGCCTCGACGGTGCGAGGACATTTTGTTTCACTGTTGCGAGGTGTTTGGTTTGAGGAATTGAACCAAAACGAAAATCAGCTACAGCGAAACAGCTTTTTTCGAAATGCACGTAAAAGAACGTGCACAGAAATCCACATTCGTATCGCAGAACAACTCAGTGGCGTGGCCTTCAAAGAATCAGAAAGCTGCTACCACCTTACCTTACATTTCCCTTATACCAGCTAGCTAGCAAAAATACCAGAATTGAGCTACAACCACCAAACCGAGGATCGTTTCCTGGGCACATCCATCTCCGTGTAACTGTGCAGGTTCTGACTCGACATTTGCTGGGTGAGACTGCCGCAATCGTAGTGCCGCGGCTGCTCTTGGTCTCTGGCATCATTGCCAGACTTAATTATCGCGTGTGCGCGTGTGATCGATGTCTGTATTTCGCAGTATTTCTAGGATCCGTGTTTCTCACCATCTCAGTATCATTATCTGCTCGAGCCACAAACATTTGATTGTTACAGTCAGTTATCGCTGCAGTCAGAACCGATGAAGATGCCAGAAAGGCCGCCTTGGCCTCCTAATCCCTAAACTTGTGCATTGCACAACCCGCTCCCAAGGTTCAGGGCTCCTACGCGCAAGGCTTGGCGCTTCGAGGATCGGACCTGGACGTCGCAGTTATTGAGGCGACACCCAAAGAGTCGAAACAGAAGGCGACCCGAGTTGCAGCTTTGGGGGTTTAGGGAAAGTTTAGGGTTTTGGGTTTCGGCTCCTCAAGTGAAACCTTTTTCAGTCTTGGAAAAATCTCCGGGTAGCCTCGAGATGTGCTTACAATAAAAGGAAATGACGAAACCGGAACACAATATGTTGTTCGTGGGCGTTGCCTTGCCTGATGTTTTGACCAAGTGGGAGATTCTGAGAAGGGCTCGGAGTCTTGCTGCAGCCAAAGCGAGGCGAACCCGCAACCACCCACTTGATCGTTGCTCTTTTTCGTTGTTGAGCTGGCATTGCATCGTTTTAACCTAGACGCTCGGAGTCGGAGCACTGAAAGCTCGGGCTCGCGTTTCGACCCCGGGAATTCATGCAGTCATGCGATTGTGCGGTGTCCTTTGAAACTGCTTGACCTTGCTAAAACGACTTGTTGCAATAAAGGCCACGTGTATAGGCCGAGTCAGCCAGATTGATTGCTCGCACACTCTCTGGCTCTGAGGATGCAGTGGATCGAAAGAAAGCACTGGCATGCTTGCGACAGCTAGCAGCCGCGCTTCAGGACCAGGGCCCTGTGCTTCTGCTACGTAGCGTTTGCAGGATTTATAGGTTTGGGTGTTTGTTGGTCAGCTTGTTCGTATGAGCCAAAAAGCCCAGTTCTTCTGAAGTAACTAAAGAAAGGGCTTTTTTGTGATTGGCACTTCTCCGGCTTGCAGCGACTGTGGAGCTGTCCATCTAAGCATGTTTCAGCATTAGTTGCAGCGGTGTCGGCTCATAATGGTCGAAGTAGCTGCACCCATATATATATATATATATAATTATATAATTATATAATTATATAATTATATCTATACATATGTATACATGGATACTTATGATAATGATGATGCGAAAACATACACGCACACACACACACACAGAGTGATACAAGCACGTGCGCAGAGTATGTGATTCTGGCTTGTGGAGCCCTTTCAGGAGGCCAAGCTGCCGGACATTCGCATCGCGCTGCGGATATTCTCGGCCAAGGTGGGGAGACTTTCTACTTTATGCTATCATCTTGGTGTGCTTGCGGGTGCTTATGCTGACTTCTTTATTATGTGGAGTCATCGTGGGACCTTTGTTTCTCCTGGTTGCACTTCGAGCATGACAGACGTGTCCAGACCATCAAACCTTACTACAGCGGCAACTTCCGGCATGCGAGAGTGGACAAGGCAATCTCATGCAAAGCCATGACTCAGCACCATTTCGAACTCCATGCCAAGCCAAAACTCATCAATGGAGTCCGTGTTTCCTGACATGGTACGACTTTAGCCGCTTGGTGTGTAAGACAGAAGAGAAAAATGAGGAAGTCTGACAAACATTGACAGACTATAATTGCATGATGTCAGTTTTCATGTGCAAGACATGTCGCTGACAATAGTATCGGAAGCCCATACCGCAGACATAAAGACTCGTTACCGCACTCGTTACAATTAGAAGCAGCAGAAGTTGCAGAGGTAGCGCTGTAATTAATGAGATATGGTGGGAACTAGTGGGTATGCTGCTCCAGGATTCACACGACACATGTTTTTTCGATTCTCGGTCACAATCCCTGAGGTACCCGTTCTGCGGCCACCTGTCTTTTCAGCAATAGCTTTTTAACATCCTAGATTGTTACTTTGTACCACGCAACACTGCAAACTCGGAGCATCCCATGCTGACACAGGACCGACTGTCACAAAGTACAACCGAGGCTGCACTGCGGGGCCAAAGGCGGCCGAAACACCGTGGTGGATGTGTCCGTTGGGGGCAGTCTCCTGCGGGGAGCCTGTGACCGCAGCGTCTACGCCATGTCGCTTGGGCCTGGAATAGTCGAGCCTAGCTGCTATTACGGCTCTTTCAGGAGCACCTAACAGAGCTTGGCTTGGCTTAGCTGTCTTGGTAAGAGTCCTGCTCTTTCACTTTGACAGTCTGGGTGGGTTACCCCAGCATGTCTGTAAGGCTCAAACAAGACAAGCTCGGCATTTCGACAGCCTTGTGCCTCGGATTGCATTCTCCCCCCCTTTGCGCTCCTAGATCGACATGATTTTAAGCGGAGTTTGCAGCAACGCAGCCCCTTTCAGCGGAGCCACAAGAGGTTCGGTGCCCATCCTGTGTCCTGCGACTGCTTGCGGTGCAGTCCACATGCATGGCTCGAAGTTGGAACAACTGCTCCGGCGCTTTGGAGCGTAGCATAGACTCTTTGAATCCAAACCGACTGAGCTTGATTCCCGAAGCACAAAGAGACAAAGAGTCCTGTCGCCTTGGCAGCTGCCGTGACTGCTGCAGGTGCCGCATGGTGAAACTTTGGGCGAAACGGCGGCGGCTTACGAATACTTTAAAGGGAGGCCTCAGCAGCCGCTCCTCTGAATGAGAGGTCCCAAGGAATCAGGACTTGGCTCACTTGGAACGAGTGGTTAGAAACCTATGTTTGTGGTCGGCTTTTGACGGTGCATCTTCTTGCGAAGGACTTGTGCGCACTTGAGCTTTTGGATCGCACGACCATGACACAAGACCTTGAATGTGAAGGTGTCGTGCGAGAGATTTGACTTGTTGTTGCATACCTGCGCACAATCCATTTCTATCGGAGTCCGTGTGCCGTGCGAGAGGTTTGACGTCTAGATGGTTGCCTATTTTTTTCCAAAATGACCGTTGTGTCTACGTAGGCATGCAGCCGGGCGGCCAAGTGTGTGTGGTTGTATTGTGGGCACGGGTGGGGGAGCATCGGCACTTTCGTGAGCCGTTTCAGCGACCAGTGGAGCCGACACACCGGTTCTTCAACTCTTGTTGTGCTCTGTAGACATGAGATGTGGTTTCGTTTTAGCTGATAACCACTATCCTAGTCCGAAGCATCGAGCCGGCTTCTGTGGTCTAGAACATTGTGGCACAAGACCTAGCCTCGTGGCAGACAAGGCTTCTCCTTTGTTCTCTTGACCATCTTCTTCCTGCAGCAGGGAGGGGAGGCGAATGCCGCGGGGCAAGCACACAGCCTGCCTCCACAGAGCCTCAGCTCTACAGGATACAGCAACCACCGCCATTGCTGTGAGCGCGTGTGTGTGTGTGTGTGTGTGTGTGTGTGTGTGTGTTGATTTGTTGGCTTGTGTATTGGAATGAGGCTAGTTTTCTAGATAGATATTTTTAAACAAACCGTTTGGGGTTTGTTTATGCTTCAGCGTCTTCAGCGTTTGTCGTTGCCGTGTTAAATGCGGCCAAACACAGAGAGCACAAAGAGAGTACCACAGGTAGCCTCTTGAAGCAGGAGTGTTGGGCTTGGCTTGAGGGTTAACGGCTTCATTCTTGGGGGTTCGGATTGACGGAGTTCTAGTGTTTCTTTGAAGACTACCTCCTCTCAGAACCGCCCAAACCTGAAGCCCGACAAAGTCTCAGGAGCATGGTAACAGGCACGAAGCCAACACCGGCGAATCCGGAGAAGTGCTGTCCACACCCGCTGGGTCTTCAGCCATTGGCCACCGAAGAGGCGTTGATGTAAGACAGTGCGACTAGTGTAGCAGCCGCGACAACTACAACTAGTAAAGAGGATTCTATTCTCACCCTCGCACTCCGCAAGTATGTGCAGCATCGTGAGCTCTTAGGTTGGGTTGAGGGTCCCAGTCAGGTCCCTGCGGGAGGGTTTCAGGATGTTTCAGGCATGTCTTTGTTTTGCTTCACAGCTTCCCTCCGCAGTTGCGTGGTTTCCTACAGCTGTAGATCTCTACCTTACCTTGCGCCAGTGCCAGGACCTTGCGCGGCTGCTGCTGGCATTCTTCAACTGGGCGGCAGAAGACCTGCCAAGACTTCAAAGCTTCACCCTTTCGGTGTCTTCTGCAAAAGCAGAGCGCCGTGCGGGGCCTTTCAAGCCTTTGATTCTGGCTGTGCCCTTCGCACCTGGGGAGAATGCTGCTCGCTGCCTACGTGCGGATGTTTGGGAAATGCTCATCCGGCGCGAGCTGCAGCGAGCAAGCCGCTTCATGAAGCAAATTGTCAGCCAAAATGGACCCGATCGGAGAGATGCTTGGCTGTCAGGCAGGATACAGCACAGAGTGCGAACTACTTCTTTAGCCGAGAGTTGCGGGTTTATGTTGTCTTGTAGCAGAAGACACTATGACTATGGTAGACTGCGAAGGAAGCCTAGAGCACTTAGAACAGATGCAAAACGACCATGTATTCCATCAATTGCGCCCGGAACGCACCCTAAAATCCCCGCATCCGAGCTCCCTGGTCGCCCTTCTGCCATGGACCTGAGGAAACGGTGCGATTGCTTTTTGCCCCCGCTGGGGAGGACCAGGAGAACGCACTCCCAGAATCCGAGGAGCTCAGGGAAGATGCTTTAGTGCTAGTAAATGTTGTTCTTATGATTGTTACTACTATTCTATTATTAGTACTATGATTAGTGTTATTGTTTGGGTTCTTTGAAGCCTTGCTTTAAGGGTCATAATCTTATGGATGCTATAGGGGTTGAAGACAGAAGCTCGAATAACTACCCAACATTTTGCCTTCGGGCTCCTGGTGGTCGTACTAGAATGTAGCTCGGAAACCTGTTCTAGTAGTTGAGACCCCTGTGTTGACGGGGTCTGTTCTATCCAAGAGAGCATGTTTCAAGTTCGGTGCAGGCTTTCATATCTTGCATCATCTTGCGTGGTCTTTCAAGGGTCCAACAGCGGCTTGAAGCATTCGTTCGGGCTCATGTAGAAGAATTGTCTCATGCAAGACTTGTCCTCAAGATTCTGCAGGTCCAACGCTGGGTTTTCGGCATTCTTTTGATACCAGTAGTGTGCTATGTAGGCCGGTGCTATGTATGAACTTGTGCTGTCGACATAAGATAATACACTAAGCCCTAAACCCCATTTTCTGGAGCTCGATGTTCTCTCACACGACATGTGCGTCTCAGTAATAGTGGAGAATGTGGAGCATTGCCTGCCTTGTGCGAGTGTGAGCGTCGAAAGCAGTCGTGCCGAGAGACCTCGTTCGGCTTGTCCGAGTTGCGAAAGAGTACAGCTGCGAGTCGAAACCCTGAAAGGTCCAACGAAAACCTCGCATGGCATGTCCGAGAGGGAGAAATGGAACGATATGGGTAGCTATAGCACTCGGGAATCGAGAGTATTCGCCAGCGCGAGAGCCCGACAACTTACATAGTCAGAAACTGCCCCAAACAACTCTAAACCTCGCTCCCCCATCGATGCAAAACATTAGATTGTGGTCGTCATGCCTCATTATAAATCCCCAGAGACTACCCTGAGGATAGATTGTTTATGGTCTTCCGAAACCTCATCCCCATTCACGCCCTGTATTCTCATGTAAAACCTGCAACAAACATTACAGAACTTCGATAAAACATTGCAAATCCCTTCCTTATGGCAAGTCTCAGTCCCAATACATCCATCGAGTCTTTCGGGACCTCTTTAAATGGTGTATGGTAGACTTAAGTCTTATCCGGCTCAGGAGGCTGAGGATCCGCAGCCGCCGGAGTCGCAGGACATGCCCTCCGACGCCGAAGGCTCCGTGTCAGATTTTCCAGCTTTGTAATATGCGGGCCAGAAAAAAGTACCTATACTATCTTGGGGGCTCCTTCTTGTAGTTATAGTCATAGTATAATGAGCGCCAAACCCTGTTCTAATCACTAAGGCCCCCACATTAGGGAGGAAGGTTCCAGTCGTGTTGTGCCGCCGATCGCTGCCTTGCAAAAGTTCTCCTTCTCGTCGTAGAAGTGTGGAGTATGCCAGACCCTGAGCATGGGATGGAAATTGCAAGGGTTTAGGTTTAGGGCTCTTTAGGGCTTGGGGTTCAGGGTGTAGGGTTGAAGGGTTTAGGGTTCAGCTGTCCTGGCGTGACGTTGCAAGCCAGTTGCAAAAAAGGTTTGAAGGGTTTAGGGTCATTATGCCCAACATCGTTTCAGATCTAATGTAGGGAACTTGAAGTCCAGCAAGTGCGAGTTCATGAACCGGTGTTCTCAGTTGAGCCTTGCTTCATGTTAGTACTGTTAGTATTACTTCAACCATGGGGCTTTCGAACTTGTTGGTTATGAGTTATAAGTTCATGAAACCCTCAACCCTAAACTAAACCCTACCCTGGGCGGCTGGGAAAAACAACTAAACCCTAAATAGCCCCAGACATCCGAAGCACGGAGGATCTCAGAGTGACCCTCCGCTTGGGCGCGCAGCTCGCAAGCGACGGCGCAAGACGCTCGCTGCTCTTGGGAGTAGGGAAACGGGGATGAATTTGGCGTGCACATTGTCGCATTTTCCGAAAGCCCCAACTGAGATTCGGAGATTCCGAGGGAGCAGAAAAGAGGTCGAGAGAAAAGAGCATGTACTCGTGATGGCCATCTCAGTCGCAGCTGTCGCTGTCGCCGTTATCCTCGTCGTTGTTGCTGTTGTTATCATTGGTGGTGCTGGTGCTGGTGGGAGACGCAGTCATTGCAGCAGCAGCCGCGGTTCTTGATTAGAATGTGGCGGCATCGTGCGCGAAGCATAGCGTGCAGCACTGCGTTGAGGAAGTCGTATAGAGCCGCGTGCAGTGCTGACCAAGGATTGAGCGGCGGGCGCGCAGCAGGCTGCGATTGAAGACCAGACCTCAAAGGATTACACTGTTGCCGTCGAGACCCTGCAACAATTACGACAGACTTGTATGGTCCCACGGGCAATCGCACATTTAAGCTGTGTTACGGACTTCGATGGTTTCGACTCGCCACGAGTCATCAGACACGCGGTCCAGGGAATGATCCAAGATCCGTGGTCCTAAGCCTTCGGCATCCAAGCCAACTAACCCGGAAGCCTTCAATCTAAAGACAGACTTACAGGCAGAGCCCTATGTCGGATGCCTCCATGCCAGAGGTTGTCGCCCCCGTTGACAGGCGGGACTACTGGCCGTGAGAGGCAGCATGTAGACTGAATCATTACTTTTTAAATAATCAATCATATCGCCTTATCACACCCAGTGAAACTGCAGTACTATATCATTTGTTAAGACTTTTTTGTAGGGGCCATTCGCCATTGTTTCGTGCTGCTTGGTAAAGTGGCCGAGTTTCGGCATCAGTCATCTCGGCTAAGATCAGTTTGCACCTCTGAACACCTCGGATGCACCATGCCGGCTGTGGGGCTTCCTTCCACGAACAGGACTTGCTGGTCACTACATTGCTCAAAAACGAAGAACCAGATGAACCGACGTCGAGTCTCTTATGCTACAGCTGCGAGAGACAGAGAGAGATCTGTTTTGTGTATCGTTGTAACCTCTCCTTGAGTTCACCCGAGACCCCAAATGCCAAACCAACACACAGGTGGCTCGGCCTTCGGACGCTCCTGAATCCGCAGTAGCACCGGAAGGGCCTTTGGCTGTACATAGAATCACGCCGAAAGGCCAATGACACGTCGCTGGGGAATTGGTGTCAGCGGACTTAAGATGTAGGCAGCAGACTCGGACGTTTGCATGGGGAGAACGGGCCGATCGGACTGTTGCCGCGTGAAAGCGCAGTTCAGCCTTCACCCGTACCGAGTTATTCATTGCTCCTGACTGCCGCCCAAGTTTTAGTATCGGCACAAATAAACGTATCGGTCCGTCCGTCCTCTTTGACTATCGAAAGCTCGGAGTTAGGATCGGCTACCTCTTGTCGAGGCAGGCGCCGTGTGTTTATCGTGGCAGACAAGAAGTGTGCACGAACGAACCGGTTGTGCCAGCGACGTTCGCAGGTTTCACCTCCTCGCTTTATAGCGACCATGTTGATGCTAATGACTGCCAATGATCTCCTGTGTTTCTTGCTTGCCAGTGACTAGGCTCACAGTAAAGAAGCCACAGAGATGTCGTTCTGCATGGGTCATTCTGGGTTCCTTGCGTTCTTACGGGGCGGGGGGTGACAGAGCAAGGTGTCATGGTGTTAGACATCGGGGACTCGCCTGCGGTCATTCTCGCATAGAGCCGAAAAAAGGACTCTGGCTGTGGACGGAGCCGGGCCTTAATATGGGGGCCTTAAAAATTGGAATAGGGTTTTGGGGCCCCTTCGAATCTAATTATGATAGGGAAGCCCCAAAATAGTATTGGTAATAATCTAGGCCGCTATATTAACCCAATGCTACAGTCTGGGGCCTTGGAGTCTCAAGCAAGCCTAAGCCCGAAACTCAATGTCGGCAGACTGCCTGAGGCTTCAAAAGCACGTTGTACGATGTCCTATCTCCGGAACCCAAGATTTCCGGAGACGGCTGAGGTTCATTGTGTCTGCCTTGCCCGAAAGGGCTTGCGGCTTGTAACTGCATCCATCCATCCATCTACCCATCCATCCATCCCATCCTATCCCATCCCATCCTGTCCTATCCTATCCATCAATCCATTTGTCTATGTGTATGCCAGTACAACACAAAGCATGAACACATAGAGACGATATCGACTCTGAGGTTTCAAAAGACTGCGCGCAATTGCTGGTTACTGTAGTCTTAGATGCCGTCCCCAACCACAGCTACAAACGTGGCATTACGCACCCACACGGTCGCTCCGCAGAAGACTAAGAGTGGATAGAGTGGACATTCAACACCAGCATCCAACCCGAGACCTCAGAAGCTCGACGGAAAATTGCGATTCCTTCGGGTCCAAAGCCCGACAAAAAGAGGGAGAAACTTTAAACAACAATTACCTGCAGCGTAGACTGTCCATTCCTTCTCGCTTGGCCGTAAGGTGTGCCAGGCGAGCAGATCCGTTTCGCCGAGGGCTCTGCAGACGTGACGTTGAAGGAGGCAGAGGCGGGTCTGACAAAGCAGAGGCATAAAGGGTTGAGGGTTTAGGTTAACCCGGTGGCAGTCAATGTAGGCCCTAGGCTGCTCTGAGATCCATATACAAGTCCGTGCACGAGTTAACCCAGTGCTGCTGCTCGTGGTGTTGGTGGTCCTGGTGGTGTTGGCTACCTCGCTGGTCAGTCAGACCTTGCAGGCACAGACATCGGGATGAGAGCTGCGACGAGGCCTGCGCCGAAAGTTGGGGCAATAGGTCCTCTGTGTGAGTAGCCAGGACCCGGATAGCGAAAGAATCTGACGGTCGCCAGCAAGAATCTAGTTGAAGCGGTTTCCCTTCTGATTGCAGTGCATTGCACCTTGATGTTCGGTGCACCATGAGGGTTTCTTTAAAGGCACTGCTGCGTCCTCTTGGAATAATATCTTGCAGTCTTCTCGAAGCTTCCCTCCCACCCCGATGAGTCCGCGATGTCCGCATTAGAATTTGCGCAGATCACCAGAGCCGTCAGGTACCCAGCGCTCGATCGTATGGGCCTGGCTGATGACTCCTTTCCTCGGTTGAGCGCAATGGTCATCGCTTCGTGGGTTGAAGACACCGCAGAAAATGACACACTAATCATTAAGAGTCGTGATACATCGCTCCCTTCGACTGCTAGCTGCATACCGCTGCTTCCCGAGAATGCTTGAAGCCCGTGCTGCGCAGCCGTGCCGTCTCTTTTGCTGTCTGACCGCAAAGAACAGTTCTATATGTGCCTCGTATTGGCAGTGTAAACTTCTCCTGCACCCGTCTCGACATGCAGTATCAAGATGTGTACATATAATACATACACATCTCCAATGCATACACACGTACACACACAGAGATATGTGTGTATACATACTCATGCTGAGAATGAACTTATAAAGTGTATGTGTGAAGATATGTGTTTATGCAAATGCGTGTATATACATACATATATATATATATACATGTGTGTGTATGTATGTGTATATATATATATATATATGTAAATATGTATGTATAGTTATGTATGTATGTATGTATGTATGTATGTACGTATTTATGCATGTAAGTGTGTACCGATCTATACATATATACATGTGTTCCTACGTATATACACACATACATATACATATATATATATATACACACATATTCATATATGCATGTACATGTAGATGTATCGCTGAACACCACAGAAACAAGCAGTCTAGGCCTCCAGGTGGGCCGATCCAGGCCACGCGTGAAGAGTTCTCGGGTATCACCAGACCGGACTCGATTGATTGGAAGCTGCTGCCCCAGGTGCCTTTATAAGTACCAGTACTATTCTTAGGGTTCCTTGTTATAAGTATCGTATAGTATGCCCCAAAACCCTATTCTAAGAATTAAGCACCCTAAAAATATTACCCAGTTCCATGCAGAGCTACCAGTACTGCATACTTCTCCTTCAGCTTTAGCTCAGGGGTTGAAACTTTTGGCCAGAGATTGTTAGCTCTGCTAGTACTGGAAAACAGTATCCAGGCGCCACAGATGCCACAGTAGCTGCTGACGAGACAGCAGGAAGTGATAACTTCTGATGCAGTCACACAAGATCATAGAAGAGTGAGCCTAATCAACACCTTTCAACACCCAAACACAGAAAGCAAGTCCGAACGTACCACAGGACTCCGAGCTTGCCCAACATAGCCAAACCCACAACATTCATAAGAAGTTTCAGCGGTTGCCTTGTCTTCCGTTTCTGGCAGCAAGCAAGAATCGACCCCCTCGTATTACTTTCAATCAGCACGTCCTAAGCCTTGTATGTTCGTACTTCAGTTCCACGGATGCTTCCGGTACAGTTGGATTTTTGGGTCCAATTCCCGACGACGGAGGGATAAACACTCGTTTAGTTTGAAGCTCCAGATGCCCTCGCAAAGGGGCATTCGATGCCGACTTGTGTGATTGGTCCTTTCGCTGATTTGCTAAGACACCCAGGTGTATATGCAGAGTAACATACGGTTTTTTCTACATATGTGTATGTTTGTCCATACCTTTGCAGATTTACATGTTGTGGTTGCAACTGTTGCTTGCATGTACCCACCCGTCTATTCTGTCACACTGCCGAGGACTTCACTTATATCATCCCACCAAGCCGGGAATTGTATCCGATGCAGAAGCATTTCCTGGATGCCCAAGCCAGACATCACTGCTGTGCTAGCCGAGATGAACCTCAACAGGCTTAGCAGTTCCGGAAGCTCTTCATCCGTTTGTTGACTCATTAGGATTTGGACGCCTGTGTTACGTGCATGATCCAGACAATCTCAATCTTGTTTGCGCCCAACTTTGCTGGACCGCATGCCACAGAGCGCTTTCCCTCCGCTTGCATGCCATGTGTTTACCGGCCTAGCCATTACACAACGGCATGGAACAAAGCATTCGGCTGTTCTCGCGTTTAGAGACCCGGTTTCCTGACAGTCTGCTTGGGCATCCACTCGAAAGCTCTTATTGTGTTAAATTAGTTAGGCAATTCGCCTTCCTGCCGGACCTGCGGCTAAAACCTCGAAAGCAGAGGTGGAAAGGTCTTCCATGTGCTGACATTATACCCGGGGCTCTTTAGGGTTATAGGCCGGTACAGGCACCTTCACGGGTTGCTTCAAGGATTCTTCAAGGGTGCCGGTTTGGGGCTCATTGTTTTAAACTCGAACCTGCTTGCAGAGCTGCAACAGACATCCGAGCATCCCTGGGTGCACATGGATTGTAGAGTTCAGGGTGGCGAGTTTAGGGCGGTGTGTTCCTACCGGCGCATCATACAATCGTCGCTTCTCCATCTCAACGCATTACTACCGTAACTATGCCAGTACTCAGTACGGTGCAATTCCACCCCTACTGCCATGTAGTCTCTGTGTGCATAATCTCATGGATCACGAGCTCATGGTTTGGTCTGTGTTTATGAGGCACTACACTTCGGCCAGCATCTATAGTAAAGACGATCTCTAAGCCCGAATGTGAACTGGCAGCGGAGAACCTATCACCCCGATGCGGATGTACTGAACCTAGATCTCTCCCTACCGCAGACTTGCCCGTAAAAGCCGCAGCCATGATGGCGGATGCCGAAAGGCTTTCCGTCAGGGGCCCAAGTGATTGAGACCGAGAGTGCATGAGTGACTCTCTCTCTCTCTCTCTCTCTCTATTCTCTCATGTGCATGTGCCCCCCGCTTTGTGCTCGTGGCTCGTGTTATAACCATGCAAACAGACACGGATATGTAGCTTTATACCTGTTCAAGTTGTTGACGATGGCTTCTGGTCTTCTGCTGGTGTTGGTGTTTGTGTTCTTGTTGGTGCTGTTGTCGTCATTGCCGTCGCTGCTGCCGAAGTTGTCGTTGAAGCTTCTGCTGGTATTGCCTGGTAGTGTTATGTGCTGTTGGTCGTGCTTGTTGAGTAAGTGTTTGCTTTGTTGCTGTTTGTGGTCGTCGATTGTTCTTGTTACTTGTTGCTGTTGATCATGATGTTGATGTCGGTGGTGGTTCTCCTCGCAGTTGTAATTAGTAATTGCTTTTGCACCTGAATTTGTTCCGATGATCTTTGCTTTCTCTACTTTCGGCCGATGCGTCTAAGCTTGTGCTATGTGCTGGGCTACATCCTCAGCCCATCTATTCAACCACCTGCTTGGACTGAGGTCCGTTCTACAGAGGGCGCGCAAGCTCTCGCGTCGGGAGCTGTTGCAACAGTCGCTTCCGGCGCAATTGCTGAACATTGAATCTTGCATGCTTGGCCCGGCGTCGCGCGGCAGTTCATGATGTAGTGTTGAAGTGACCAAATACAACTCGCAGTGAAGCTGCCAAAGGACACACACAGGGAGTTGCCTGTTTTCTGACTGTCATTCATGGGGTCCATGCCTGCATGTATCATATGATACGTATGTTTAGATTCGTTCATCCATCCATCCATCCATCCATCCATCCATCCATCCGTGCATCCGCCCGTGCCTCAGTATCGAGGTGTGTGTATGGATGCATGCACCTTCAGGATCCGTTGAAAATATGCTGTAGCAACCCACATGGCATGCCAGGCTCAAGCAGAGGGGCACTCCAGAGGGCAAAGTCGTCGAATCTGTCAAATCTCTGCGGAACCAGGCCAGCTATACTCTCCTGAATGTTCGGTGTACTTCGGCGTTGCTTTCATGTTATGGTCTTTGTTGGTTCATTCGAGATGTTCGGGATGTGTGCTCTGACGGCTTGCCTCACCCCTTTTGTTTAGCACTTCGCATCCGAACGAAGTGGAGTTACAGATTCCGCAGGTGGGCCCTTTCCCTTCGCCGTCCTTCGTAAGTACGCAGCCCCCGAGATATCGGAAATGCCGTCAGGCTGCTTTGTCAGATGTGTGGCTCTCAGATCTGGACATGCAGCGGGGCTTGGAATGACACTATACTGTTTAAAGATTCTCAGAGCCACCGATTGAGGTGCAAGGAAAGAAGTATTTGGATATTGTTCTTCATGTGTTTATCGTTTCGTTCTTCTGGCATCAACATTTAATATACAATTAAACCATCATTCCTGGTATAATTGTTTCTTCATGCGTTTTTACACATCCAGGCCAATGGAAATGAAGAAAGAGACGATGATTTTCGTCCAGACCTTTGGGGACCACGAAGAAAAATGAAGAACACATGAAGATTCTGGGGAAGACTTCTAGGGGAAAGGAAAACGAAATGATGAAAAATGAAGATTTGGGGCAGCAGCACCAGAAAAATAAGAAACATCGAAGAACACGAAGCAAAAAGCGAAGAACAAACGAAGAAGCATTGAAGACAAAACCTAAGAACAAATTAAGAAGCAAAACACTACGAGGCTTCAGGAAATGGCCTCCTCCCCCTGCTCCCCCTCCTCCCCCACGCCCTCCCCCTGGTCCTCGGACCTCCAACGCAAACGAAAGAAAAATGAAGAAAACATGAAAATGCAGGTGGCACTCGTCACCCCGGAGAACGAAGAAGAATTAGAAGATGCAGATGTCACTGTGTCCCGCCCGCCGTTGCGCACCCTTGGCCCCCTCCGCCCCCCACACCCACCCATGCCTACAAGCGACGCCGCACTGTTGCTAGTTGACAGGCACAACCGAGGTAACACGAATGAAGAACAAATGAAGAAACAACGAAGAAAGAAACGAAGAGATAATGATGATGTGGGTTCAGCCGGAGACAGGGAAACGATGATGCAGAATGATGAAGAAATGAAAAACATGACAAACAAATATTTCCTTGATTTCCAACCCCTGGCTGCCAAAGAATCTCTAAACAGTACTGCGAGGCTCCAGTAATATTTTTGAGCACGTGCTGCATTGAAAAAATTCTACCATAGTTTCTTTCTCTCGAATTCTGGCTCTACTGGTGATTCCCCAACAGTCACTACTGCGAGCTCATCGTGCTGCTCGGCACCACCCCAAATCATTACTCTAGTGTTTGCACAGCATGTCTTATGTGAACTACCCTGGGCCCATGCATGGACTCCTGAACCTTGCACTACCCCATAAGCACTCAGAGCCCCCAACGAAAAGGAGCTACGATACGAAGGCTTGCAAGCACACGCTGCAACCTCGAGATGTCCTTCCGAGGTCAAAGACTACACCCTGGCGATCTCTGCTCTGGGGCGCGTGGGGCGCTGGGCTGAGGCTGGCCTCCAGAGGTTGTGGCTTTGCCGAGTTTAGGGCAAGGTTCAGAGCACAGCCTAGGGATAGGATTTGCGCTCTAGACTTAAGAAGGCATGCCACAACTGAGTTCAAGAGCAAATAAGGTCTCCTTATTGGTGGAAGACTGCATGGTTCGGGAACCTCCCCGGATCAAAAGATCACAATGCTTCACTTTACACAAAAAGTCCTGCTTAGTAGGATAAGAACTAGCCTGTGATTGAATCTTTTGGGGGCTCGCAAACATAGTCCCAATATGATCCCGAAGGTTAGCTAGGGCGTGGGTCTCGGGAAGATGCTGTCTTCGGAATGGCACGAAACCACGCCGCTTCATGCAAATAGGGAGCCTGATCTCGGGCAATTGAGAGCCACAAGCTGAGCCCTCAGCAGTGCAGCCCTGACACGACCAGACGTAGGGTGGCTAGTTTAAGTGCGCGAAGGTTAGCAGGTATAGATTCCGGTAAAGCAACGTTGTGGACTTTTCTTGGCGAGCTGACTCGATCCTGAGTCTGATTGCACCGATGGACTTTCCTCAGAACGGTGTTAACTTGTGGCATCTCCGAAGCCGCAGAGATACGCCTCCCGCTTTCCCGGTTTTCCCCATCGTCCAAACGAAGGCCGACTTTCTAGTCGAGTTGGCATCCTGTTGATTTGTTGGAGCCCAAGGTTAACTTTCAGCTATACCCTGTTGGAGCATCCATGGAAGCGCATTTCCCATGCTCCTGCGGGCGGAGAGTCGCAGCTTCGTGCAGTGCCTGAGTCCTCGCGGCAATTCGGCGAAATCATGGCCGGAGAACCTTGAATGCACTTGGACCAGGCACCCGGGGCCTCGGGTTGTCTGAGGGGCGTGCAGACCACCAGGCAGACGGGCAACAAGGCAACCACTTTTTGGCAGAGACAGGCTCGCAGAATCTTGCAGAGACCGATGTGTCAATGCATGTTTTCCATTGATCGCACAATGTGCATAGGTGGAAATTGAATCCCTGGCGATGGATTTGGAAGTGTGTTCGCTCTTGTGGCCTTCAGCACATGCACTTTCGCAGGCTCTTTGGGAACACCCCGACCCCAAGCCGAGAGATCTTGACCAGACAAGGGACACTGAAGCTCGTCATCCTTGAGTGAGGAAGCCATCATAGACCTGCTGGGGGATCGCCGGCTGCTGAAGCAAGTGCAGGAGCTCCGTGGCTTGTGATGTTAAGGTGTTGATCGTCCAGAGCTTGTTGTCGTTTGTGTCGAGCCGAGCACTTCATTCACGCATCGCCTGAGCGAACCTAAGTGGAAGTCTGTCGGATGCTAGAGTCTCGAAGAGCGGCATTCACCACAGCATAAGGAAAACTTCCAACACGAAGCAAGCAAAGGTGTTGCAACATATTATCGAACAAATCCTTGCCGAATGGATGGCACACAGGAGCCTGGATCAGGCTTGTCCCCACGCTGGGGTGACGAGGTTGCCATCTGCTACAACGTGTGGGAGCTGCCGAAGGCACTGTGCTTCGAAGTGGATTCGCGGAGCGCAATCCCATGTCAATGTGTTGATCCGTCACCGGTGCGATTGCGGAGGGGTTAGTCGTAGTGAGCACACATCACCTTGCATAGCACATCTTCTCTCATCGCACCAGCCGCACGATGGGAAGCTTAGGGCGTAATAGGGGTTTCAAGGCATCCACAACAATTACGCACAAACCCAGCTACCCGACGCAAGGGACAGTCGCAGCAGATCCTGCTCTTGGAGCCGACGACATGCAGGCCTGGGGGCCCTGCTGAGCTTTAGGGCATGGGGTTTCGGAACCATCATCCTGAAACCGCCATCCGCGAGCTACTAGAATGCGTAGCTTCTGAATGACGTGACAGTGATGACTGTCGCTGTTTATGAACCGTTCTGTACTCGTAGTAATGCGTCGGGCCCAGTCTTGTCGGCCCAACGCACTCCTGCTTACGGGGATTCTCTGGCGAAGGCGCTATATGTAGAGGCTTCCTGCATCGATCGGGCCTAGAGATGCCTGGACATTCTCTCGAACAAAGAGATGCCAACATCCGCACTCTCTCCCCGCCTAAAAATGCAGGCACGTCATCGGTGTGCCTGCAGAAGTGGCTTGGCCAAGCTGGATGGCAGCATGAGCCAGCATAAGGCAGGCGGCAATCAGGCCTGAGACGCTTGTTTGTCAACATGGAGTGAACAGTTTGTGTGTCTGGCCCAGGACAGCTTCTTGCCACACCAAGTCGCAGAAGAGCTGCTCTGCTCTATGCAGCTGGCAGAGAAGGTGCTTCTTCGATACATGAGCCATTTGCGTGGCGGGGACAAGGAATGATGTGATCTAGATTGTGTTATCTTCTTAGCAGCTGGCCCCTGGCAAGATCTGAATCCACTCTGAACCCATCCCGCAAACCAGAACCCCCAAACCTTGGAGCAGCAATCCTCAACCTCTAAAACCCTAAATTAGCTCTTAAGCACCTGAAAGCCTAATCGTAGTTGCGGTTGTCCTGTAGCTGGGCTGCCGTCGCTGAGGTAGTGGTATGCTGGGACAGTTGGGGCGGGCATATTGTGCATTTTCATGACGGGCGAAGGGGTCGAGTCTGGAAGATCGGGTTTGATCGTTGTCGGAGGGTTGCAGACCTTGCCTGGCTTGTCGCAGTGCTTGTGTCTCAAGCGAGATACCACTCCTTGGGGTTCCTGTGGTTGATATGATAGATTGTAACGGACTTTCGTATGCTCTGAACTCTAAAACAAAATGCTATTTGTTCAGGCCCCTACATCACTTGAAAGGCGAGCTTTCTCATCGACTTGGAGGCATTTGGAGCAGCGCTGAAGCAAAGTTGGCTTCAGTTTGCTGCCTTCGAGCGAGTGGATGTGGAAACCGATCTGCAACATGAGAATGTGGGTTCCATTATGCGCTCCTTTGGGGTTTTACGTGTCCTTGCAATCAGGGCCCTCTGCTTTACGGCTCCATATTGGGTCTCCGCTACGTGTCAAAGCTGAGGCCTTTAGGAGTTTCTTGGTGACCACTTGCACCTTCCAAACGTCCCCGAAGCCTTGCTTGTGATGTTTTTTTAGGGCTTCTGTTTTAGTAGTGTTGCGATGGGTTGCTCGCGGGCCGGCGGCACCGATGCTTGCGGTCCCAGAAGCCAAACGAAAAAACGCAAGCTGTTTGGCCGACGAGCATCTCATTTAATTTGAGATCTTCCTGTTCGAAAGCTTGCAACAGAAGGAGCGAATCCAGTGCAACGTAGAGCTCCAGCACGTGCGACGCGGGCCGGAGGATCCTTGGCAGCTTCTGAATCCTGATAAAGTCATCAGACATGGCTCGGAGGTTGGGTATCCGTGCGAGCATGATCGAATTGCGAGGTAGTAGTTGTAGTAATTACTCATGATACGTATCACTCGCAGCTGCGGCAGTGGAAGTAGCAGAGCGCCGACGGGGAGCAGTCAACAGGCTTAGACATCCCGAGCCACCGTCGTCTTGCAGCAGCACATTTGAGGTTCTTCCAAAACCTTCTTCAACTTGCCTGCAGTGTAGTGATTTGTGCAGGCTTGTGCTCCCCCTTTTGTTGCACATCTCCGGCTCGGCTCAGAGGTTCACCAGAGACAATTTAAGCGGCCATAGCGTCGGGGTGTTGTGACCTTTTGTAGCCGAGTATCGCAAACCTTGCAGAGGCAGTAGCCTTGGAACTTTGAGGCCATCGACCTCGTGCAGCACGTGCTCCAAGTCGGAAATCGCTCTGAAATGACGCTGCGATGGCCGCTGTGGCAGGAGGAGAAGCGCAGGGATCAGTTGAGTTGAGGTTGAAGCTAGGTTTCCAGCATTGCAACCCACAACACCACTGCCGCCTTGCCATCGCATGATCACAACCATCATCAACAGCAGCAGCAAACAACACTAGCAACGGCAGCAGCAGCAGCAGCGGCATCAACTTCTATCGCAACGATGCCATCACAGCAACAACCTCAACCGGACAGCAGCAATCACAGAACCAGCAGCAGTAGGAGCAACCTCGGCTTCAAGAACCACAGCCGCAACTGCAAAACGAGCCACGGCCCCAACGTCCTTCATCGAACAGCCACAACCACAAGTAAAGCCACAACAGCAGCCTCCACCACCGGTATCATAGCTTAAGCAACTAGCTAACTAGCCTAGGCAAGAAGCATGGCTTTCTCATCTTCTAGACACACGCTTGGTGGGTAGTCCTCATGAGTCCCACAAGGAGGACTTTGTGGCTACGTCCGTATTTGCACAAACCCTCCAACTAGCCTGGCGGGTTCGTCCTTGCGAAGTCGGCCAAGAAATCCTAAGACCCCCCCCGCCCCCCGATCCCTTGATCCCTTGAGGCAAAACGCCCGAAGCCCTTGATCCCGTGAGGCCCCTGAGGCGGCTCCGATTCAAGGCTCGCGCTGCGTGGTCACTTTGGAACTCGAGGCGTTTGATGCTTGGCCTGCATTGGGCTTGGTGAGAACTCATATGCCAAGGCTTTTGCTTCTTGGTGAGAGAACTATGGAGTTATAAGTTTCGTGTCAACGGCTCAAGCTATGTTTTACTTCTGCTACCAGGTGGGAACATTGCTTGTCATGACTCTGATGGTGGTGGCTTTCAACAGGACGTTGAGAGGGATGACACACCCGTTGGAATCATGTGGTGGTGCTGCAGCTGCTGATGATGACGGTGGTGGTGGCATTGATGATGCACGGGCAGGAGATGATGTGGCAGCTCAGGGGGTCATGCTGATGCTTTATAGACTGTGTGTGATTGTAAGAGCATCTCTGGTGGCGTTAAGCTGATCTTGTGTTTGGAGAAGGCATTTGTGCGCTTGCTGGCTTGTGTGTGTGTGTGTGTCTGTGTGCGTGTCACTCTGCATGCATCTGACGAACCGTGCAGGCCACAAGACGCGAACCCTCCTCATGCCCGACTGCTCATGAAACCCTGAAGCTGCACTTGCAAAGCTATCAAGCATCCCCGAGCCCAGAGCCCTTCCAAGTCCCGATGTCCACAAGGGAGTCTCAGAATGTGCCCCAGTATCTCGAACCTATGCAACAGGACAGCGTAGGACCCGTTAGCCACTAGCTTCAGAAGCCACACCAGGACCTTATGAGCCGGCCGACGTCAAAAAGGGTGTTGCATTGCCGGCAAGGCGCGGCGCCAAGCATCGCAAGCCCTTCTCGGATACTATTTGACGGGGCTCCTTGTAAGAGGGATCCTACACTGGAATTGGTTCCCCTGTTGTTGGAATCTCCCGAATCATTGCAGTCAGTCGATTCCAAACTCTTCGTAGTTGGTAGAACCTGGTAGAAGTTGAGCATGAGGAGGGCAAGCTCAGCTAGTGTTACGAGCAGCAGAAGAAAGTCATACAAGCAATGCAGCTGCTGCTTCTGACTGGATGTCTCGGCATGAGTACAGGACAGGTAATGTAGTTGGTTCACCAGAGTTTGGCATAGACTTGCATCACATGCTTGTGCTCATTGAAGCACCGTATTTTCTGCGCAAGCTTCTCCTGTTTCACTTCAAACGACCCAGACTTTGGTCCGCATAGCATGAACTCCAGAACTAAAAGCACCATAACAAAGTCCAAAGCTGTATTGACCCAAGTGCACCACGTTACCAGTCAGCACAGAACCGGCTTGGGGTGTGCGTGTTTATTTTCAAGGTTTACTGCTATGACGCGCCTTTCCATTCGCAGCCATGCAATGGTGCAGCCGCCTCCGTGAGAGTCGCCAGATCCTCCGTCGACACCTCCCTGCCAGGTGGAGAACGGCAACTGAAGGCTTCTAGACGTAAACCTCATCATCGTCGGCAGCGATGCTCGACCGGAGCAAGTGCTGCAGCGGCATGCCTCCTTTGGACACAGCAGCTACCGCGGACCGTCCCGAAACACGCAGCCCTGCATGAACATGACCAGGTGCCTTCAGTCAGGAGCTCTTTGTGCGCCGACGGCATTCTGAGGGGCTATCCGCAAGGAGCAGCTATGACAGGCTGGGCGCTGATCCTGGGAACGCTGGTATGGTGCGGCTGGGAACTGCTCTGGTTCTTGACAAGGAATGGCTGGCGTTTGCAGTACTTCGTCATGACATGTACCGGTCACCAGATGGCGTCGGCCACGCAGATAGTTTTCGGTCTCTGCGTGAATGGCAGGGGTCGGGTATCACTCCACAGAACCGGCCGACTACAACACAAGCGGCATCAGGCACTCTGGACAGATTTCTTATTGTCCATGAGCATGCTTCTGCTCGGGTCGCAATGGATGATCATCGTCTTGTATGTCTACCTGAGTCTACCTCGAAATCGTGAGTGCGATTCTGGCAGCGTGCCTGTTTGAGCTTGAGCACATCCTGTGCCGAGCTGGTCCTCACAACCACTTCCAGACTGCGACACGGAGCGTCTTGGACTTACCTTCGAATGACGTGATTGCAGGGACGCCCGATTAATATTCTCTCGCAGGTTTGTTCATCTGTATTTGAAGTCATGCCTATCCTTTAGAAGCCCTGGTGTATGTCCCTGTTTTCATGTCCCGGTAGCAAGCTGGACTTTCATTAAGTCGTGCCTGCCTCGAGCGAGTGTGCATGTCGAAAGAGCACGACTCTAAGACATGTTTCCCGACCTCCGCTGATCCGCAATGGGCAGATTAGACTTCATTTGGCGTGGCGTCCTGCGCAAAGCGCGGTCTGCCACTTTGCCGACTGGCCAAGCCCAGATGCAAAAAGATGATGACCTGTCCACTGCTCCTCCTGAAACAGTCGGTGCATGAGTACATAGGCCCATAGGCAGTAGGTTCTGACAGCCCCTGCTGAAACTAAAGTTACAACATGTCGCAGATATGCAGGCAGCGGCGAGCTGCCTGATTGTGTGGCTTGGGCTGAACTGTTTCGGTCCCTTTTCCTCGAATCGGGTGGTTCCTTGAGTTCCTTGAGGGGATCGCTGTGCTTGCATCGCAATGCAAAATTATTAGGCTTAATGCCCGCGATGAAGAGTTGCAGAAGCCGTTTGCCTCGGTTCTTCAGGCCTAGGATGTAGCAGGGCCTCCGTAGGATCTGGAGTGCAGGGCTGATTGGGTTCCGTGTAGCGGCGCTTTGATTTAGCTTCCGTGAACTACTTGTAGGAAGAAGCACAATGTGTCACACAAATCAGCTGCACAGCGCGTCGCTCCTGCTGCAACCCGTAACAGGGCCAGCAGGAACACAACACTTTGGCAGCATCCTTGTTTTTTGCCTGTCTATCTGTCTCTCTGTCTCTCTCTCGCTCGCTCTCTCTCTCTCTCTCTCGCTCTCTCGCTCGCTGTTACGATGATGTTCCTCCCATTTTAATGGTCCTGCATTGGTGCAAGCGAAGCCGCGTTTCTATTCAAGCTGCAGGTCGTAGACCAAGAAAGGCCTAAACCCTACGAGCCCCATCTGAGACGCTGAAGCCTCATCTACCGAGTCCAAGTGGTGAGAGCATTAACCCAAATTCAGGGCCCTTTCTTCAGGTGGAGCTTGCTCTGGCCGTGCTCGGCCCCAAGCAGCGCGCGGAGCTCCGGTGTGCGAAGGCCCCGGGCCTCGCGGGCTGGCCGGACGCGTCGGCGCCGGTGCCCCGACTGGCCTTTGTGGGTTTCAGGTTTGTTAGGGGATTGCGGTTTAATTAAATGTTGTATAGCGTTTTCGGTCCGCTGGCACTTTCAGGGTTGAATATCTTTGTTTGCAGTTTAAAGTGGAAAGGGTTTGGGTTGGGGCGGCTCAGGGTTAATAGTCAATAGTATGTCAATAGTGTTTGCAGTTTAGGTTTTATATGGGGCTTCGCCGACCATGTGGTTAAAAGGTTCTTGTAAATGATAGGTTTTGGCTTTTAGGGTGCTGGGGTTACGGGGTTTGGGAATTAAATACAGACTTGATGGCCCCTTCCTCGTGTCCTCAGGTGGCCAGGAGGACTGAGTCTTGAATAAGTTGCGACAACAGAGCAGCGCGAGAGACTGCAATAGTGATCATGCGGACAACAAAGGCTACTCAGTGACCGTCGACGACACATTGTCGAACTCTAAAACTCCCAACCTCCTATCCTCACACTCTTCAGAAACGCAGACTTCCTTGGCATCGACCCGAAAACCCAAACCCGTCGACACAGGAGGCCAAAAACAACCTTGAAGGGACCCTTAAGTGTTCCTTTACAAGAACCCTTTAAAGGAGCTCTTAAGTACTGAAAGATACTCGACAGGCGCTCTTCCGAGTCGCCGTCCTGAATCGCACCTGCGAGTCAGCAGAATGTCACGACCTGGAACAGCAACTCCGAGAAGACAAGGCCATGCTTCTTTTTTTTCAAAGTCAAGAGGTTTTTGAACAAAATACTAGCAAGAAGAAGAAGAATAACGGCCAAAATACCAATAGTTGACAATAGTAATCAATGCAGAAATGTTTGCTGTAGCCATACCCAAAATTTTAATAGTAGTAACAAAAGGAATATCAATAAGAGTAACCACAATCATCATCATAGTGATATTGTCATTAGTGCATTACGATGGGTTTTAATAGATTTTGGAACTGCGACTTTTCTGGACTGCCAGCAACTGCAAGCCAGGATCACGCGGGTGCTTTGTTGAAAGGGAACCGGCCCCTGCTAGCTCTTCTGAAGCTGGCTGCCCTCTCTGCTCGGGGCTCTAGTGCTTCTCCACTGCCAACAGAGCTCCAGCGCGAGCGCCTCGCCCACAGCAATGGGTCTGCAGGAGAGGCCTGAGGTTCGACAGTAGAATCGAGAAGGCTTCGAGTCTTAGAGGGAAAGATGAACTGAAAGTTGAGGTGCTTGCAACTTCGCTGTGTGGCGGAGCTACGGTTAGGCTTTGCGTCAGCAGAGGCATCGGCCGCAGTGACTTTCTGAAATCAGCTGAGCTTTTCCGGAAAAAGTTATAGTAATAGTCTATAGTTCGAATTATGTTAGGGGGAGAGGCACTGTTGCCCTGCGCACCCACCACATCCTGGAATCGGGAGCCTTGCCGCAAGACTTTCGATGCAGCAAGGCCCTCTTGGATGAGCACGGACGGAGCTGCAGGCACCTCAACCTGCATGCCCGCGCTATCATGGCCCGCGATCCCAGCGCTGCCGTTGACGATCTGCTTGCTGCCTTGCAGCCGCCTGGCTTTCCTGGGCCGTACTTGTAGTCGTAGGCTCAGGTCTGGGAGGAACAGAGGGAATTGGTCCGACCATACTGTCGACACGGACTCGAGCGCCCATCCGTTGATTCGGAGAGTCGATTTGCGAACTGCTAGAGTTAGCAAGCCCATCGTATTCCCTGTATTTTGGCATCGAATACTACTAGCCTGAACCATCTCTCTCTCTCTCTCTCTCTCTCTCTCTCTCTCTTGCTGTCTCCATTGTCTCCATCTCCGGGCTTCAGGAAATACTGTGGGCTCTTGCCGTTTCGAGCTGTGCCGAGCTTCGGTGAAAGGCTAAAACCTGGCTGCGCCACCACGGAGCGGCTGTTGAAAAGGGCCGAGCGGCTTTTGGAACGATCCTTGTTTGCAAGAGCTTGTTTAGCACTCAGATGTCTTGTAAAACAAGATCAGAAGAAGAAAAGTAGCAGTCAACATCCGAGTCTCTGAGTGATGGTGAAATTACTCTTAATCCGGGCCCGTTGATTTCTCCGAGCTTGGTGGGCCCTTGCGAGCCAGAAACAGTTGCAAGGCGCACAGAGAGCTCAGCGCTGGTTCGACGGCCGCGGCGCCGAGAAGCGGACGGCCGAGGCTATCTGTAACCGGTGTCTGAACAACGATAAGGTGATGATGATGATGATGACGATGATGATGATCTCCAATAGCATTGCCTTTCTGGGCAACTGTTGCCATGCAACTATTACGATGCAAGGAGTCTTACCACGTAGTCATCAGCAAGTTTCTCATATTCAGTCAGTTTTAAATGCTCGCATCGTCAGCCTCCGCCCGGTAGCCGGTCAAGAGTGGTCTTGGCAGGAATGTACATATAGTTATACATGCATATGTATAGATATACACAAAATGTCTTACATTTATACATATATGTTTTTGCACATGTATATACACAAATCGCCATACAATACCAAATTGTATCTAACATCATATCACAATATGACATAGAAATATAAGAAAGATGACACATTATACTGTAATGAGGCGGAGGCACTGGCAGAGTCACAAGGGACACAGGAAGCGAAGGAACGCCGTGGGAAGCGGCGGCTTGGGCAGGGTCAGGAAGTTTCACCATTGTGTCTTGCGGGCGGCCAAAGAGACTCTGAGGGAGCGGACAGTGAGGGGATTGAGAGGGTTCCTTGTGGGGGCCGCGCTGACCGCTTCTCCTCAAACACACGCTGCGGAAAATGGCCAGTGCAATACCAGCGGCAGAAGACGGAAGACTACAGATGGTGGGTGGTGCTAGTCGTGGTAATGGCAGTGGCGGTGGTGGTCGTGGTCCTCGCGGACGGGGCGATGGGAGTGGTGGTGGCGGTGCTGGTGCTGGTGCTGGTGCTGGTGCTGGTGCTGGTGCTGGTGCTGGTGCTGGTGGTGGTGGTGGTGGTGGTGGTGGCGGTGGTGGCGGCGTTGGCAGAAACATCATGGTTGTGGTCGTTGTTAGTTATGTTGCTGCACTTTCCGGCTTTTCAGCACCTCGGTGGCGTAGTGGCGAGGTGACGGACCGGACAAAGTTGTCTTGCTTCAGCCTGACGGTGTCCTTCAAAAGTCTATAGCCTTCGATCAACCATCAGCTCCACTGCCGTCACCAGGATCATGATCATGATGCTATTGATGTTCATCATTACCATCATGTAAAGAGGAGTGGTATTGCCGTTTACAGAATTATCCGGGAAATTATGCGGCAACACGGGCGGAGCTTCTCACCGACTCTGCATTTGGAGGAAGGGGAGGAGAGTCTGGCTCCTCGTGTTACAAGACCAAACGGCAGCTGTTTTCAGCCTCTGAAAACTCAGGGCTCCAGATTTTGGGCTTCCGCTATGGATTTCTTCGATAGGGAATAATGATATAGACATGCCTTCAAGATCGTCAAGATTCGACAGCAATTAGAGCTTCGAGTTTTAACTAAAGTTACAGGCTATGTGAGAGGAACCCGTGATTCTGCGGTTTAGTCTTGAGGGTGCAGGGCCCCCGCGGCAGCATGGCGGCGGCAACGGTTCGGAGGCTCCTGGCCGTGGGTGGCTTCGTGGCACTCGAGAATGCAGTGGAAGCCACCGGCGTGGGTGCCATCTTGCCATCGCCACTGGTAGGAATGTTCGGCCTCTTCGGAGTGCTGCTCTGCCTGGACAAATGTGGATACGGATCGATTGCAAACTTAATGTTTCAGTGCTCAGAGCCGGGCTATCGATTCCTCTTCAAGTGGGCCCCAGTGTTCTTCACGCCTTCTCTCATCAAGTTGCCGCTGGTGGAGGAGCCCATCACCGGCGCAGAGTTTCTCCGCCTCGTCGTACTTCTCTTCGTCGGCGCCCTCTTGCAGATGGCCTTGGTGGCGACCGTGGCGAACTTCCTGGGATCTCTCGTGCCAGCCTCGAAGGTGAAGGATGAGGCCGAAGATGCCGTCCAGGAGCTTCCAGGCATGACCCCGAAGAACGTGGAGCCCTACCCGCGCCCTGGCATCCCGTACAAGCGAAGATGGCTTCCGGTCTATGCGGTCATCATGCTGGCGGCGCTGATTTTCCTAAAACTTGGCCACCAGTCTCGACTGGTCGAGTCCGCCTTCATCATGAGCGCCACCCTCCTTGCCTTCGTCGTAGGCAACTGCGCCGGGCCGACCTTCAAGACGCTGCTGCCGCCTGTCTTTGTCGGTGTCTTCGGTGGCTGGCTCGCCATTGCGCTCTGGGCCCGGGAGGACGACGTGGAATCCTTCCATGATGTCCTGGTGCGCTACTCAAACGCTGGAGGAGGCGGCCCGGTGCTCTCCAGGTTGCTGAACCCCCTGGTGATCTCCCTGGGCTTGGTGCTCTTCGAGCGTCGTCACTTGCTGCAGCGCGACAGCACCGTCATCGTCGGAACGGCCGGAATTGCAGCAGTGACCGGCCTCTTTGGTTCAGTTCTCCTTGCTCGAGCGCTGGCCTTGCCGAAGGGCCTTGCGCACTCGACGACGCCCCGCTTCTGCCAGGCTGCACTGGCTCTGACGGTGGCAGGCTCCCTGAAGGCATCGCCGCCGCTCGCGGCGGCCATCGTGGTGTCGTCTTGCTCCATTGGAGTCGTCATTTCCAAGCCTTTGATGAGCTGGTTGAAGATGGAGGGCTCCCGAGAGCGTGGACTTTCGGTGGGAGGAGTGGCCCACGTGCTTGGCACCGTGTCCCTAGCGTCCTGGGACAAGGATGCCGTGCCCTATGCGGCGGTGTGCTCAGTCTTGGCCAGCGGCTTCACCACGGCCTTGGTGGTTATCCCTTCCGTGGAGTCGGCTCTACTGTGGCTTCTGCCGTGAGCAGGCCACGAAGACAGTCGTGCCACATCCCCGGGGCAGTGCAAACGCAAAGCTTGTGAACAGTTTTGGCTAATGCTCTCAAATTTGCGGTGTCGCCAGGCGTGCCGAAGTTTTCCCATCACAGGTAGCCCGTGCGAAGGCACAGGCGTACTCGAGACACGCCGCGCGAGCATGATGTGAGAAAGAGCCTGGATATCATGGTCATGTCAGGACGCCCCTCTGTGCATGGGAAATGCTGTCCATGAAGCATACATAGCGCTGTAGAGTCCAAGACTAGAATCTCCCTTCTCCAGGCTCGCAGCGCTTTGCTTTGCTTCCAATGTGGGCGACTGCGCTCTGATGGCCATGTTGGCGAGGCTCAGAGGGATCTCTTGGTAGGTAGTGTTAGGGAGGCCCCTTGGCTCTCTCAAACGGGACCTAGAGGGTCTATGTCCCCAAGGGTCCCGCTATTCCTAACTCCTATCTTCGAAGAAAAATGCAGGCAAAATAGCCACATGTACCTGCAGAGCTGCCGCGCTCATTAAGCTTCTTGCTGTACTGGCGACATGACCATGTTGATACCATGCTTAGAGGCTGCTGTCTCTGTGATGTTCATGTTTTAAGCTTTCGGTCCAAGTCGTACTATCAATTGGTATCGCTGTGCTTCACGTCTTTGATACTGCCTTGGATGGTGGAGGGTCGAAAGCTTTGCGGCCTGCTATGTTTGGATTCGATGTGTATCTACATCGAGACCGGGTAGGACCGTGTAGATCGTAAGGTTTTTTGAGATGCCCGTGAAGATAGGTGGGTTGACCCGGCTACACGTTCCTACCCTCGCAACCTGACGCTTGCAGCTTAACCTTATGAATGCAACTCTTGGGTGTTATCCTTCAGCCCTGGATTCTGTACAAGCCCTAGTGATGCCTTGCCGTTTGAGAGGCTGGCTCGAAGATGGCTGACCGGTATCTCTGCGAGGATCCTGTGCAGATGCATCTTGATGTTTCATTCGGTTTCAGAAACACATGCGTGCGAGTAGCTGGTTGCTTCATGTTGCTTCGAATCCTCAACTTCGTGCGGGTATGAAAGGTTACGTGGTAGTTGGTTGCTCCGAATCCTCAGTTTCGTGTCCGGTTTGAAAATTTGGAGCTTTGTGCTCGTGCGCCTTATTTGGTTGCAAGGGCATGTAAAACAGGACACTCTGTTACTCGGACGAGTTCGGCTGCTCAGCGCAAAAGCTTCGCCCGGTTTGGACAGGAGTGCTGGAGCTGCTTTCGAAAGATCCGTCGCTGTCAGCAGCTTGAACTTGATCGACGTGTGGAGAAGGCGAGATTGTTATCGCCTGTGCAGTCACCGGGTGTATTCGAAGATTGTTGGCTTGAGCTCTGCGATTGAAGCATAGTAGCTTGCTGAAAGTCTCGGCAGATAACCCGTGTGGGCAGACTTGAAACTGCGGAGCATTGGGGACCGTAGAATTCGGTTGAGGGAAACTGAGGATTTGTTCGCATCTTGTGCGGGAAGTGCACAGGAAACCTGGTTTGAACAGGCTACTTACTCCGACTACAGCACAGCCACCGATGAGCTGCCCTCCCTGGAGGTGCGCTTGGTCGGGCTTAAATGAACGTCTCCGTGGGGCTAGGAGGGCTTTAGGCTATAGATGCTGCGGAAATGTTGTGTCTGAAGTGCGCGGCAAGGTCAAGCTTCAGATAGCACCCAACCACGAGAGCACGGAGAGTGCCCGGTATGAAGTGGCAGGATGTGCCCCAGGACTGGGACCGTCGGCATCCTATGCTGCTCGGCTTGTAGCACAGACTGGATCGATCAGGCTCAAAGTGCAGTACAATCAGCATGTAAGAACATCTACGAACACTGCTAGAGCCGTGGATGCAGCGACAGAAATCTTGAACACCACTTAACCCAAGAAGCTTCAACATTGAACATGAACACTCAATAAGCTTCACGACTTTAGAGACGAAGCTTGCCCCGAAATGTCAAACAATGACTCTTTTGAGCTTAGGTGGCAGCGCTCGAACGAGACGAATCCGGATTGGCAGCTTCTGCGCCCCAAGAATGCGCCTTGGCCATCGTCAGTTGAGATGTGCCAGGCTCTTGAGTGAAGCACAGCAGGGTTTCGAGGCCAGGCAATTGTTGGAAGATTGAGAGCCTGCCTGGACACTTACTCAGTCGAGGACAGCAGGCTTGAGCTGCAAAGCCCTTTTCGGGAAAGTTGTGACAGAAGGTGGCCCCGTTCTCGAGAACTTGCCGGCATGCCATGAACGCCGTCAACCATCACAACAGACGTTTATCACAACATCATGCAGCGAATGCTTTAAACCGCATGAGCTACTGTGATGTCATGTAATGTCCATACATTCCGCCGTGGCGCCTTGCTCCTTACGTTTCAGCAAGGGCAGGTTTTGTGCAAATCCGCTGTGCAACCTACATAAGTTGCAGAACTCTCGTCCTGGATGTCGTGGCATGTTTGGGGCGGCTGTCTCCACCAAAGAAGTTGGCCTGATCTGCAAGAACGGGCAGACCTGATGCTCCTCGAAATTCCCACAAACGTAGACGGGATAATCTGAATGCCAACCTTTTGGATCATAACAAGCTCTGGTAGCTCCACAAGGCTGTCATGCTAAGAAGAAGGTGCCGTGGAAATCTCAAGTCAGGGCCCTATGCATGTTACATCATGTTACTTACTGTTAGGGTTGAGTATGAATTTAGTTTAGTGTCTACATACCTACCGATATACGATTAGTATGCCGTTGTGTGAGTGTGTGAGGACAGACAAGTATGTCAATGCAGACAGATACCACAGGTCATAGCAGATGTTTCGGAAACCGTTTGTGAAGGTTCAACATTGGGCCATCTTGGGTTGCTACTGCAGTACCTTCATCCCTAGACCCTCGGGCATATTCGGCCGCGTAGCTTTCCAGCGTGGAGACTACCACTTCACCTGACTTTTCTTGAGGCCGTCACGAAGCCAGAAAGCCTCCAGACTGCAATTGCTGAAGCTCAAGACATGCCAGCAGATCTCTGGTAGTTGGACGGGTTGACGCCGGTGTGCCATTGAGCAATTCCATGTGCATGTTGAATGTGAAGACTTCACACTTCGTGTCTGGAGGCTTTGCACTTGTTGATTGACTTCCGGCACGGCATGCTCGTGGTACCGTGATGAGCGCTTTATGATGGTGGCCGCATGGTCATGGAGGAGTGCAATGTGGACGATTTGGTTTGCATGCCCGGTGCACGTCGTCGGAATGCCAGCTGCCAGCCAAGTCAACGCGACGACCCACGATGCACCATATGCACCACGACATATCGGGGCTAGGCCGGGATCTGGGACCTAGCATCTTCGATGGCCGGATGCACGGCACCTCAACGCCGACCTCAGCTCTGGTGTCTTTGCCGACTGTGGGGACGTTCTTTTGTATCTTGCGGGGAGTCATGTTGTTGGCAAGGGGCGACTCGATGTGGCTGGAGTTGCTCTAGTGATCACGAGCACGCAGCCTTGGGATTGGCATATCGGCATGTGGCACAAGCGAGTCTAGTAACGCGGAGGGGTATCATAAGAATGGACCTTTTTCCGCCTTTTACCCACAGAAGCCACTCCATGCTTCCAAGATGTGCAATTATGAAATGAATGATGACATTTACACTCAAGTGTTTGATAGCAGAAGCACTGTAATGCTGACGCCTGTGTGACCGCTGGGCAGCACATGCGCATGACAGTCGATCGAAAACAAACTAAGCAGCCCCGCGACATCTGCCTGCCGTTGCACTGCAGCCAGACTCTAAGATTGCATCGCAAGTCTTAAGCCTGGGACGGTTATTATTGTCCATGACCTCCGGCTCATGTCAGGCAGTGGCACTCTACCACGAGCACACTCAACAACAGGCCCGAGCATTGATGAGTCGAATGCCGGTTTGTGTCAGGTCGTGCAGGGCATTACCGATCCTTTCTTGAAGAAAATGATTTCACTTTGCGCCTCACTTCGACGGGGCTGAAGGCTAGGCGAAATAAGCGCTGCGCAGCTGCATCTTGAACGCCTTTTAGCCACAACATGCACTGAGGAGAGACACGAGTTCGTGTTAAGCCCATCCGTTCTGCCAGTTCCAAGCACAACACAAAACTTCACTTTGCAGACCGATGGAGGTATTTTCAATTCATCAAACAGCGCAGGAACCGCTTTAACAGTAGCATGTGTTTTGGAGGGTCAAGGGTGTTTTGAGTCGAGCATCGTGTTCTGGTTCCATTTGAGGCATTATGTTATGAGTCAAGCTTCGATGCTGCAGGACAACGAACAACTACTACAACTACTCCTAGCATTGTCCAAGTCGTGCCATGCAGAATGACCACGGGAACAAGCGCACAACGAGTGCACGGCATACGGGCTTCAAGCCCAGACCCGACCCAGCTGTTCCGGCTTCTGACCAGGGACCCGAGGGTATTTGCCACGCAGCTGCGGCAGGGGTCTCTGCTTCATCATCGAATGCTTTCGGGGATGAACGGGTCTTCGTGCTGTGAGGGTCGGGAACCTTGCTTGAAGCCCCAGCCCGAGACTTCGACAATCCTATACACCGACACGGCGACACGATTCAGATGCGTCTCAGGTCGGAGCTTGTGAGCGTTCTGCGCAGTGGGTGCTGCACTCAACATCCGTCTTGCCTTTATGCATCTAGTCTCCCTTTGGACAGGGTCATGTCGCATCGCTGAACACCTCCTCGGCAGTAGCGGCAGAAACAGCCACATCCCCAGCAGCCCCCGCTAGCACAAAGGCTGCTGCTCTTGTTCAAACATGTTGTTCTCCGAACCGGATACTAGCTTTCGTCATGATTTTAAAGCATGAGCATGGCATTCGTGGCGGTGTTGGTGCTGAGATCCGCTGACGTTCACTAAGACTATCTCCATGATGATGACGGCAGTCATGCTGATAATGGTGACTGATGATGGTGATGGTGTTGATGGTGTTGATGGTGATGATGATGATGATGATGATGATGATAGTGATGAGTCACTTGTCAGTGGTGGCGATGGTCTTGCTGCGGTTGCATATGGGTGCGTGTAATGATGCTGCTTGTGATGATGATAATGATGGTCATGGAGTTATGGTGATGGTGGTTGTGATGAAGGCGTCGATTTGGACAGCCACATGCTGAACAGCAAACTCAAGCGTAGGCCAGGCAGCACACCAAGTTCAAACGTAGTATTGCATGCAAGTTCCTCTGCGTAGCTCTACGGATTTCTTTGGATCGGCACCCTGGGAATCAACACGATGCTCGACACTCACGCAATCACAGGGATTGTTCTGTTGCCAGGGCTGTTTCATCTGAGGTCTAGTCTCAGGCAGAGCAAGCCAGGCAATCTGGTCAGCATGGGACGGTTTGCCAGCAAGCAGCATGAAACATTCCTCTCACTCTCGCTAGTCTACGCTGTGCCCTTATCTCGCATGACGCCATAGACACCGGAAGTTGAAGCCACGAGTGTGCCCCTCATCGGTGGTGACTACGGCTCGCCGTCACTTCGCGTGGGACGGGATGAATCACAGTTGCCGGCTTGGACTTGCAGGAATGCCGCTTGCCGAGAAAGCGATCCGACTCAGCCGGCTCTCGGAAAGAAGCCGGCGCATCGATGCCAAGCCGTAACTGCTGGCGCACACCGGCACCACGTGAAGGTGGACTGGTAAGGCCTGCTAGGCATCGTCACTTTGGTCAACCCGAGCGATCTGTTCCTGGTGCACGCGATCCTGTTTCGGATTGGAAAGAGGCCTTGGAAACTCTTTGCAGCGTGTGCCTAGGTCGCTGTGAGCGGTAGCTTTGGTTTTGGTTCTGCTTCCATCTTTTTGACGGCGCTTCTTCTTAATTCCTACGCATCCAGAAAGACCTCAGGTCTAGATCCACTGTTCAACGGGACACCGTCGGCTTCAACCTGGCCGCCGCAAAATGCGAGAAGCAGCTTTTATGGCCCTCGGTGGTGCATTTGCTGTCGGTCACACGTGAGTGCGCCCTCCCGCCAGACGAGGCCCAGTTTTCCAACACTCAAGGCCCTGACCCCAAAGGCCTCCGATTCTGGAGCCCTGGGATCGATAGTCTTACATGATATTAGTCAATAAACCTCCAGAGCCGCGAAGTCATGCGACCATCTAAAATGGGAGTCTCCGAAAATTAGGGGTACCTTGTTGTTTTGGGCTCCTTATACTATTTAGGTACTATGTTAGGGTGCCCTAACTTCGGAAACCCCCAAATCTCTCTTGCATGAAGATCCTGGCCAGGTTGGTTTCAATACAGCCATCTCCGCCGGGAGTCGTGCAGCGCTATGGCAGCTCGCTCTGGGTCTCCTAGGCGCCCATCGCGACGGATAACGTTTAGGGGGGTGAGGGGATTTATAGTTTAGGGAAGGTTCGGTCTGCCTAGACTTCAGTCCTGAAAAACGGGATGTGCGATGCGGTGTCAATGAGCAGAACCAAACTACGCAGGACACCGACAATTGGCAATCGTGAGAACAGGACAAGGCTCGTGAGAAGGTTTAGAGTAGGATTTAGGATGTGTGGTTTAGGTGTAGTTACTTTAAGTGAACAAGCAGGAACAGGGCTCTCTGATTGTACAGTTTTACTAATTCTTGCATTGTGGAAGTCAGTGTTCAGGCGATTGCACCAGTCCTGGTGCAAAAAAGGGTGCATAGGGTTTTGCAGAGATTGCACTCCAAACAGATACTCGCACGGCCATGTCCGAGCACAGGTGTCGGAAGCAAATGCGCAATCTACAGAGTCGTTAGACTTACAAGATGAACTTATAGGCACAGTCCAACGCCGGCATCCCCAATTGGGCACAACACGCCCGAGAACCCACGTCCATGCAGGGGTCCGCCTATCAGTACATGAGGACTCTCCACCTCTGTGCAGATAGACTTCGCTCACCAAGCCCAGCCAATTGTCAGGCACCTTCAGCATCGGGCGCTTGCGCCATGACGCCTTTGGTCTCAGTGGAGCCTTGCGTGGCTGCAAGGCGCCAAGAGAATCCCTAGATGTGTGATTGCTTGTTTCGTAAGGCACCTGGGGGTGTAAGCTTCTCTGCTGGGCTTCTAGGCTGGATGGGCTTGGGGAGCTACTCCCAGCGATGAGAGTGATGACGGTGTTTCACCCCTGGGCTTGTACCCCTTTGTGTCTCGACAGTTTTCCTTGTCTTTGCAGTTGCGGCAGTTGCCTTTGATCAAAAATCAGGCAGCTGACATTAGAGTCCAACATCACAATCTCAGCTTCCAGGACGCCTGGATCCGTGGGATATCCTTGCTGGGCTCAGCATTGCAACAACAGGCAGCGACAGCTGCAGGTGATGGTGATGCATTTACGGTCGGCTTGAGGTATTCAGGATGTGTTTGCACGCTTTCTAAGTCGGCATTGTGCCCTGTGGGACGTGCAACCTTGGGGACAAACCAGTTTTCGCCGTTGCCAGGTATCTTTGAACATCATTGTCTGGAATGCAGCGATCCGAGGCAGTGGTGACCAAGGTGCACCGCAAAGCTAAGGTAGTTCTTGACACGGCCTGTAGCAGCACCTTTGGGCTTAGGAAAGGGTGGAATAAGTGCTGGTGTTGTGTTGCGGCTGCCTTGTCCATGGCATAATCAGACTCGAACAGAGCCCAACAGGAGCTGGGAGTTTCAGCCCTGAGACTATGTTCCTGTCCCGGGAACAGAAGTTCTGCAAGAGTGCCAGGCATGCTGAAAGAGCTGCAAGACCCCAAATCCAGAACTCCGCCGTAAACCTACAAGCTTGGCCGTGCTGCGGACGCTTGACAGACGAAATCATTGATGCTCGGTAGTCGTGAACTTGTAGATTCTGAGTCCAAGTCTGCCAGTTGTCCTGCGGCACCGACAGGAGACCAAGAATGAACCATTGTTGTTCACGATTTGTGCCATCACACTGCAGAGCACCACTGCCTTCGTGGCCTGCGAGGCGCCGGCGGCTGGCTCCGTGCCCTTTGGCTTCTGCGCCAAGCAGCCATGAAGGCCTTTCCGATCGATCAGCTGTCCGGCAGAGCACAGCAGAGAAGGCAGAAAGCAGACTAGAATCATCCGCTAGCGCCGGACGATGCTGCATGCAGGGAAAACTTGGCAGCGCCTACTGAATCTACTTCATCAATTAATCCTGTTGTCAAGCTCTATTCTCACATTGTCTCGCATCCGAAGGTTGCGACTCGATAGTTTCGATGACAAACTAGATAATATAGTCATGGTATCTCGCGTTCGGGCTGCGTTCAGCATATTAGCACGCTCGTAGTAGCAGCCTGCTTAGGATCGCTCCAAGTATGACTCGCATAGCTCGTGCTATCGTTACTCTTTTGCCATCCTTGTGAGGCCCCGCCGACCCCAGCCTCCTTCGGTGGTGCCCCTCGGGCCGTGACAGTTTGACATCAAGAAAAACCTCCAAACCTCCAGCACATTTCGGAGGCTCCACGAGTGCGGAGATGGTCTTCGTTCGTGCTGGGTTCTGGTCTCTTGTATTCGGACTGCTGGTGAAACACTGTACGTTTCGAGCAGGTCTTGCGTTTTTGGTTCCGGAGTTAAGAGCTCGATGGGGTTGTGTGGACTTGGCATGTGATGGCACTGTCAGCAATCGTGTCAGGGTGGCAAACATACGCGTTTGCGCGTGTATCTCCATGTATGTGTGTATGTGTGTGTGTGTGTGTTTGTGTGTGTGTGTGTGTGTGTGTGTGTGCGTGTGTGTGTGTGTGTGTGTGTGTGTGTGTGTGTGTGTGTGTGTGTGTGTGTGTGTGTGTGTGTGTGTGTGTGTGTGTGTGTGTGTGTGTGTGTGTGTTTGTGTGTGTGTGTGCGTGCGTGTCTGCGTGTGCACTAGTCACTAGCTTTTTAACATCACTGGCTTGTGGAGCACTTTAATCGTTTGGTACAGCTTGCCGAATTGACCACAAGATGCCACCTATAGGGCCTAAGGGGCCTGAGACACGTGCAGAACGGAGGCCTTGAACGCAAGGGCGCTTTAGCACGGCAAGCTGGTAAAGGCTATATTGATACAGTCCATGACTTTCTCGATGATCCGGGCTCACCAGGCTTCGGTGCCCTAGCCCATGGAACTGGAGCTGAGGTGCTCCATGCTTGCCGCGGTTCAGGCACCCGTTCACCCTGAGTCGAGTGGTGTCCCCTAACTCCCGAGGCAAAAGAGTAGATGCCATTATTATAGGCACTTGGCGAATCTGGCCATGACCCGTGAAATTCAATAACCCCGGGGCTTGGAATCCAGGCACTGCATCTCAAACAGGAAGACGAGGAACCAGGTGGTGGGATTGAACGGGAAATTAGGAGGCACTGAAATTCTTGCTCTGCATTCTTTGAGCATGGCACGGTTGTGGAGTTGGACCTATGCGCGGTGAAAGAAGGCAGAGACGGGGAGAGAGCAAGAATCGTGTCAGGGGCGGAGATGGAAGGATGGAAAGCCTGCGTAAATTAAACCTCACCCGTGGAAGAGAAGTGCGTCTAAGACAGCCCGGCCTGAAGTTTATCTTCTCACAGGGCCAGGCTTGGCTGAATTTCTGTCCCCTACGCTCACACCCGGAAGCGGCACCTTCTCAAGAAAGCCTCACTCTGCTGGAGGCGCTTGGCGTGCGTCTTCTTGGCTTCTGGACGTCTCCCGCGGCGCGCGGGTGCTGCCCAGTGCCGTAAGCGCTACTTCGGCCCTCGCGGCTTTCAAGGACCGAGCCTGCTGCTGTTAGACCGAGCTCAGGATCGGAAGCTCAAAGCCCACAGCCCTGTGCTTCAAGCACCTTCGTCCCGAGACAAGTACAGGGTCCTGCAAGGAGGCATCCGTGAGTTGGCCTCGGACGCTGGCACTGGCTGCCAGCCTCGCCCGAGGAGAGAGGGGAAGGGATGTTTCCGGAATCATCCTTTTCTTCGGAGGCTGGGTGTAGCTGCACGGGAGGGTGTGCTACCTGATGTGGGATATGAAAGCAATGGTTTCAAATGCCTCGAACGACCAAAATTGAATCATGCCTTGGGAGGCAAGCTTGAACCAGATGCAGGCTTCTATCGTGCTGCTCAGCTGCAAGGCGCTTTTTCCTCAGGAGCCATAGGCTGTTCCAGCATGCCAAGTACACAGCAAGCTCAGAAACTCCCTTCCCACGCCTGAAGGAACGATGCAGGGCAATAGGCGCGTACAGCTGCGGCCTAAAGAGTTTAGGGCACTCAACCACATTACAGACAGGTTGCTTCGTGCTGAAACCCCACTATGGTTCTATTTGATGGAGAGCAGTATCTTCTATCTGGTGCATTTTCAGCTACTTCTGCTGCCGCACAGCTTGGATTGCAGTGAGTTACTGCTAGCTGTTTTCATAGCGCCTAAGATGGCCAGCAGCTTCGGCCGCCGGCAAACACGACCATCGGCATGAGTCTTGTTGCAAAACCATGACCGGATACTTCGTGGCGCTCGTACCCGGTAAGTAGTAGCTTAGTCACAGAACGTTCCGCGCATTCCACAAGGTCTCCCTAGCAGCGACCAGCGACTGGGTTCGCTGCATGGAGGCCATGCAACAGGCAACATGGCCTCATGGCAGCTTATGTTGACCACCCTCATTGCTCGCAGCTCTGGGAGTCCATCAAAAGAAAGAGGGGAATGTGTCAACGTCGGCCCCTAATTCAGGCGACAAACTTGCTCGTTCCAGACAAAGATGTGACTGCGATCATGGAGCTACAGGGTTTAGGGTTGGGCTTTAGGATTCATGCTGGCCAATGCTCATCCACCCGAGGTCACGGCAGGGAAGTCAGAGCGGCACAGCTGCATCGAATGAGTGACTGTTGTTGTGTGATCTCAACAGGGTGTCGGCTGGCGGTCCCGTCCTGTCCAGTCGAAGCGCAGCCCAAGGCTCAATACGACTAGCCACAGTGTTTTGGTGCTGGAATATTCATGCATGCCACTTTCGAGGGTCTACTCTGCTTTCTGCTTTGCCAGTTGCCTGCCCTCGGTGGAAAAGTGCGGACCGCATGGTCAACAGATCTGATCCCCACAATCCCTAAAAACCAAAACGAGGGGATGCATGACAAGCTTAACACGTGGTTCACGTGCTCCAAATCCTATGGGCGGCAGTCACTGAGGGAGATGCTGACAGATCTTTCTGCCGCGGTCGCGAAAGCTAGTGACTTGGAGTGGGTTTGGCATGTTGGATGGCTGAAGGAGGGCTTCCAGACCTGATGCCAAGTCTGGCTCTCTTCTATTCCATGCTAGCGATTTACTAGCCCCGCCTCGCTGTCTCATGGCAAACTGTGGAGCAGATCCCAGGCTGCTGGCGGCAGTGCTTGAGCGTTGGCCCAGCACGAACGCCCTCGGCGGTACGGCTGAATACGGCAGGGACTGGGGAGGGTTCATAGTATCTGAGAAACCGATTCCATGAAGGTACATCTATACTATATACGTGTGCTAGGTCGTGGAGGGGCTTGAGGGTAGACTGGGAACATGGGGCTGTGCATCTTCATAGGATGCTTTGTTTATGCTAGTAACTGCTAGTAATTAGTCGGCATTGAGTTCAGTCGATTACTCAATCTTAAAACTCCTGCAGTTTGCCGCATGTGCATCTGCAGGTTGCCTTAGCCGTAGCCTAGACGGGCGTGAATTTGTCGCTTGAATTCGGCCCGAGTGCGGCACAGTAAGCCATATTGAGAGATGTGAGCCCTAAACTCTGTGCGAACATATACATAAATGCATACCGACTATAAGCCCTGTAGAGCAACCTTAACCAAGCCGTCTCAGCCGTGCATAATGGCTACCCAAAATCTCTCATATAAAGCATGGCAATATCTCCATAAAACCACCTGAAGCTTCAGGAATGGTCAAACGCTGTAAACAACACTGCTTTGGCAGGTCCTCGGTTCCCTCGTAACTGTCAAGCTTTGGGAAGAGGCTTTTCAGCTCCTTCGCAGCTCAGTCAGCACTGCGAAAAAAGCGATGTGGGGCTATGGGAGTCGGAGCAACTGCACCTAGCTTCCCACTCGCCCAACTGTCCAACAGTCAGAAGACGGGCAACTGCTGAGCAGGTAACTTTCCCTGCGATCGCATCCACGCAGACACGCGACTCGTTAGCAGACAGGGTCGCGTTTGTCATCATCTTCAGTGCATGTTATTGCCATATTGCTGCAGCTGCCGCTGCTGCTGCTATAAAGACGAGCCGACGACAACCGCCATCACCACCTCATCCGCCCATCGTTGATATTCAAGCTTCAAATTCAGGACCTGTCAGGAATCGGGACTTGAAGTAAGCTCCTGAACGCAGAACCATCCTAAACCCTTGCTCCGTCGTGACTCCCAAGTGTGGAGCGAAGCTGTCGAACCCCTGCGTTTAGGACTACGTTCCAGGCCCTATGTCCCTAAGCTCAAACGGACTTCTCACAGCCACTGCCTTCCAGACAGGGTTTCCGAAGCCGCCAAAAGGATGAGCTTCCACACCGCAGCGACAGCTGCGGAGCTTTGGCCCTGGACTTTGGCGATGTTGGCGGCCCTGGTGCTTTGCAGGCGTTGTGCAGTAAGAAGTTTTGGATCAAGCACCGGGAGAGTTTAGAGGAAGGGTTTTTTGAGAATTTTGAGATCAGCCTGTTGGGGCTGAGACACATGTTGACGTCTAGGCCGGGATGCTGTGCAAGCCAAGTAAAAGTCGATCAGTAAACCGCAACAAGGCACCTTTGGAGGAACCCGAATCCAGCCTCTCATATGACTCACATGCCGGGTGTTTTCCGCTGCGCTACAACCTCGACAGCACCCCTCCACTCATAGGCCTCTGTACAGTCCCTAGGCCCTGAGTTCTAGGATTCTAGGCATTTGCGGTTTGGGTAGGCCTTGCACCACAAGTAGACACCAACTTAGGCACCACTGTTACTGTCTGCACACTTCCATGTCGCGGCGAGGCTTCAGCAAGATACCATCAGTGTCAACACGGCTGCGGCTGCTCCGACATCCCTAGGGCGCTGGCAGCACGCGCTGAGCCGCCTCAGTGACTGGCCCGAGGCTATTTGTTTCCTGCGTGACACGGGACCTTCTTTTTGTGTTCGTGGCTTACCTGCATGGCACGTGGATACATGAACACCCGGATGCATGCACGCACAGACACATAACGCACGTACATGTGTAGGTCTCTCTTCGTGTGTGTGTGTGTATACGCACGCACATAGGTACGTACGCATGTGCGTGTGTACATCTGTACATACTTCTACAGACGCATGTTTGTATACATATGTGTTATACATGACCTACAGATGTACGCATGCATGTGAGCATGTATGCATGTATGCATTTATGATGCGTGTGTGTGTGTGTGTGCTGGGTGCGGGTGTGCGGGTGTGTGTGTGTGTGTGTGTGTGTGTGTGTGTGTGTGTGTCTGTGTGTGTGTGTGTGTGTTTGTCCGTGTATGTTTGTGCACGTGCGTATCTATGGATGTATGATGTATATGTGTAATTACGTTGCCGTGTGTCTCCGTGCGTGTGTGTGCGTGCATGCGTCTCTCTGTGTGTGTGCACGTATGTTTGTATGTGCGCATGCATGTATCATATAATATGTATGTCCATGCGGATGTGCGTGCGCGCGAAGCGTAGGCACGTAGGTGCGCCGGGTCCATTAGGTATGTATGCGTCATGGTGACTACAGCCGCGAGTTACACAGATCTCTGTGGTAGGAGACAGAGTTCGTAGACCTTGGGCATGCCCGTCCCCAAACAGCCGCAGTTGAAGGGTTATTCGTGGTCTCAGCTGGCAGGCGGCGTCCAAAGGCAGAAAAGCATGCAGGGTCCAAGGGTCTGGCCCACTGTTCTGCAACAGTGTATTTGGAACCTGGCTCCCGCCAGTTCGAAAGCTGTTGTCATCAGATAACGTTATCTGGTCATGTTGGAGCCATGCCCAAGGTCATGGCACCACGATGGGTATCAGGACAGACCTTGTGGGTTGGAGCACATCCATGGCAGCTTGCTCCACAGCCCGATGCTGGCAGACGGCCACGGACATGCTTGCTGGCTTGAATGTGTGATGGAGTGTCTGAGTGTCTTCAACACAGTGTTTTCTTCAATGCAGTAGCAGTCCACCACAGCTAGACCCCGACGCCATAGTGCCCCATCATGCCAGGATTTTCGCTGAGGTTGATGTTTTGTTTTGCGCCCCAAGCGCTACCTACGAGTCCTGTGCACTTGAGACACTGCGGCTGCAGCATGCGAGCCAGTGAGGATTGTAGTTTGGCTCGACTGCATCGCACATCCGTGGTGTCTTCTGTCCTTACTGAAATCAGGTTTCATGCGCTGAGCGAGCATCGGATGACGGCAGACGTGTTGAGTAGCAACTTGATGCAGCTTGGTTTCATCCCAGGAAGACACCGGCGACAAAATTAACTGTTCGGGAGCCAAAGCTAGCTGCTCTGGAGCCAAGTATAGGCAGCACTAAGCCTGAAACCGTGAACCCTCAACAACGAATTGTGTCGAGGAAAGACCCCAGACGTGCCTTGAGCACCTCGACCTTACTTGTCGACACCTTGAATCTGAATCGTTGTTTTCGATCGTTCGCAGAAGCCCTTGCAGAGCTTGTCTTCGTGTCCGCAATGAAGCATCACGTTTACGCAAAGTTGATTTGACATTGCTGACACAACCAGGCTGGGGTGTTATGCAGACACCGGATGTTGGCAGCTGGCTGCGCATCTCTTGCTGCACGAGATGCGCGACATGTCCGTTAAAGCAGATGAGATCAGTCCCTCAACCTTATTCGAGGTGAAGCGGTTCTTTCTGGGGCAACGGAGATCTGTAGCAACGAAGATGATCGGGGAATCCCTACATCATGCTTAATTATCCATGCTACTGTGGAAAGAGAAAGCTTGTGATTCGTTGCGAAGCTTTACTTTAGACAGCTCTGGAAGCAACGGCTTGTGCGTTTACATGTGGCTGCACGGTTAATCAAGGGCCCCTTGTGTTTCAGAGCGTCGGGAGATTGAAGAGGCTTAAGACTTAAGATGTGACCGGCACGATTTGCGACACGGATGGTACTCGGGACTGGGCTGAAATCTAAAAACTGCAGTGTTGCCACTGCCTTCAGCCGCAGTTGTGGGGTTTTGTGTGTGTGTGTGTGTGTGTCATGTGAGTCTATGTGCAAGCATGAACCTTTCAAGCCATGATGAACACGAAAATCAGAACCCTACTTTCCCACCCTGAAACCGCAGCTCGGATTCGATCCAAGAGTTTGCAATAACATCGTGACAGCAACCAGCTGACGGAGGTTTCAGCAGTCAGATGCTTGTCCGTCGATTGATGCTTAGCAGTCTTCAAATCATGAGGCCTGCCCCAATTGCTGCTGTTCTGACAAGTGTTTGTTTTCTTCGTCGAAAGCCCTCATCTATACATCCTTACAAAGCCTCGGAATACCTTCGATGTCAACAAGCTAAGGTTGGATATCCACCATCACCTCCTGTGCCACAACGTCGCAATGGCAGTTCGCTGTTGGCCTGCTGACCGACATGCGCTTGAGCAGGCCGGGATGTCTTGTCAAAGAGTGCCCGGCCAATTCAATCATCCACAGATTTTTAGCGGCGTGCGGCTTATGTAAGTGGGAAGCATACCGCCACTGGATCCACCGGCACTAGTTCTCGTTATGGTCGTTGTCGTCATCGTCCTTGTGGTAGCTGCCGCTGAAGCAGCAGGTTGCTGTTGGCATGGGTGCTACCCGCATGCTGAATCTGTTGAATATCGCCAAGCCTCTGCAGTGCACGAATGTTGTGTGTTTGCAGTCAAGCCGAGACGTCCCAGTTTGTTTGTTCGTATCAGTTAGTGCACGTTCATAGAAGTTGTCTTGTCATTCGCTTCGGATTCGGACTTGGATGAGTCATTGCAATACTTGTGCTGATATCAGGCTCACTGTCTCCAGCATCGCCGTCAGCGCAGCCATGAGCGCTGTCGCCCAGGCCGGTTCTTGATTTTCGTAGGCGGTCCGTTCTGCAAGAAAGCCCAGCTCACCTGCAGCTTCTGGAGCTGTCTAACTGCGAGTCCGAAGCTGTGCGACGCCTTGCAATGCACTGAGTTATGAGGCATCCCTTTGGCAAATGGCCGTCGCCATGCTCGCAGACATGCAGAAGACCCAAATGCTGATTGATGAGGTATGCTCTGCGGCCGCAGAGGGCAGTTGCTGTAGGTTTGCATTGCTCGCGTGCTTTCCTTCATAGCTATATAAGTTACTGTTCAGGAGCCCTCTTCTGACTCCCTATTCTAGCGAGTGTTGCTTCCGTGATTGCCTCCACTCCTCCTCCTGCTATAGATATACGCTAGTACAAGCAGTACTACTATACTACAAGTGGGAGCCAAAACTACTATACTACTACTACTACGACGACGACGACCACCACCACCACCATCACCATCACCACCACCGCCACCACCACTACCACCACAACTACGACCGCTACTACTACTGCCACCACCACCCGCACCTACACCTACGCGGGTCACGCGCCGAAGTGCTCCAACACTTTTAATCCTTGGCTGTGTCTTCTTGTTTTGAAATCCCAAGCTGAGGTTACGGCATAGCCATCGAAGCATGCTCCCGAGGCGAAAAGGAATGGTTTCGTCAGATGGCTGCCGCTTGCGACTGCGATTTGCGGTTTCCTGAACTCCCAGGCTTTCCTACTTGGCAGACTTTTGTCAACCCCCCTCGAGGTTAAAGTGCGATAACCTTCGCTCAAGGCGGGTCATGTTGCTTTGCGCGCAACGAAGTTCCGATCGCCGTTGTATCGGTCCAAGAGTTCTCCGCGGGCTTCGGTCTTCGGTCAAGACTGCACTACTCCATAGTCCAGCTTCTCCATAGTCCGACGATCCCGCTACCTGCTCCTGCATTGAGCATGGGTTTGAGAAGCCTCCTTTTTCCTGCGGGCTGAATATCGTTTGGAGTCATCTCTAGACCGATTTTGCGAAGAGTATGTGGGACTTTCTGGGCACTGGTGGTTGGAAACGCTTCTGTGTGTAGGCGAGCAAGTCAGGCCGGACCTTCCGGAACATGGGCGATACGGCACAAGTAAAGTTCGAATCAAGCCCTGGCTTGAAAATAGCCAGCTAGTCAACATGCTGCATTCGTCCTAGCTTTTGCTGGCGATGTGGCCGGGATGCTCTGCTTCGTTCGCCTGCACTATGCGACGGCGCGACCGCGGCTCCATCGCGGAGCATCGACAGCACTTTTGCAGGCCTTGTGCCGGGCTCATGCTTGGCATATCTCTGAATGGTGTAGCATCGGCTGCCATTGCCATGGCCGTTCCACTGTGGCTTCCAGGAAGGATGTTCGAGTTAAGGCGGTTGTGACTCAGCGGAACGGTTTGCAGCATTGTTTTGTTGTGCACTCGTGGTTCTGGCCGTGCTATAGACCCACACAGTTGTTTCGCGCTGCTTTGCCTGAACCCGTTGCTGCTATCGGATCTTGATCACGCAGGTATGCAGTTGGCACTCTTTCCGGTTAGGAAGTATGGCCATGACCATGGCCCCAGAAACCGTACTACTGGGTGACAGCTTCGGGGGCACCTCTGCAAGGTTGGCTACATACTATAGAGGTCTGAAGAATCAGGAATACTATTTCCTCATCGCCCCTCTGTACCTATGCAGATTGTACGCCTAATACTCTAGTTGGAATTTTCAGGCCACAGGATATAAGGTCAAGGTCAGTTAAGGTCAGCCAGACCCAAAAACCAAAATAGGCTCTGGAAGTAGGCCACAATTCATGGCTTCTTCTTGGCCATAGGCTCAGAAATCGTCGTCGCCTTGGCAGCTCCTGCAGCTTTGGAAGGACATCGGGGTTCACTGTGTCGATGAGTTCGGGGCAAAGGGTGGCGGCCTATGCTTGGAGTTGCCTCGCTGGTGAATTCGTCAGCTTCCGGACCTGTCCTCAGAAGTAAGCAATTGCGAACAAGAGATCTTGGGAGTTGCTGACCGACAACAGGTGACCGGTATACTTCGAGCATTTGAAGCATCTCCGGCCTCGGAAGCATCCGATATGCAGAACATGTGTGACGACCCAATCTCCTGACCTTGGTTCCAACTCTACCGACACAACCAGTCTCAGGCGGGCAGGCGAATCAATGCTCTGCAGCCTAGACAACACATTGCAAGGACAGACTAGGCGGATTTGTCCTTGCCAAGTGGGAGAAAAGAGTACACAAACGACACATTCGTATGATGCTACCAACTAGCGAAGAAGCCTCAAGTCAGATACATCCAGTCTAGTCACCAGTCAAGTTGGCGGCTTCAAGTTGGTTTGCATGTCAAGTCGTCCTTGTTGGCGATACTAGCCTTCGTACAACGGACTCTTTCCAGGACAGTGGCCAGACCGGCGAAGATCATGTGGCCTGGGCTGCACTCTTCAGTTCTGTATAGCGGAATTGCTCCAAAAGAGCCACGGCTTTGGCGATGTCATGTTGTTTGCACCCAAACATCTCCCCCTGCTCAAGCCTCAGAGAAGCCCTGTGCGCGTCAGTGAAGCAGGAGCCGTTGAGTTTTTCCTGGGGGTGTAGACCACGGCGGGCCACTTTGGGTGTTTTTGGATCACGAGAGCACAAAACCATCACTGAGCCCAGGGTCCGCCCTAAAATCCGAATAAGCCCTCGACAGAACACTGCTCAAACCTTTCAGGTAGCCGTGCTTGAGTCCTCTGGTCGTCAAGTCACCCGGGGACTGATGTGAGCTTGTAACCATATGTGGGCTTCAATGCTTGAGCCTGCCGCTGTTCAACCAAGTACCCTGCAATGCGGGCATCGTCCTTACCAAGTAGGAGGGGCAACAATGACTCGGTGTGATGAGGGTGTTCCATGCTTTGAGAGGCAATTTTCTGGAGTTTCAGCTCGAGGGTCACAGCCTAGCTTTCACAGCTTCTCAATCACATCAAAGCATGCGCTTCTTAGCGAAGCCTTGGCTGTTTGGGGTTGTAGGGCTCAGGAAGTTGGGTTTGTGTCACTTGTGGCAGGTGGCGGCGTTATACCACCTCGGACGGCTGACTCGTGGCCGCGGCACCAGCGAGAACAAGGCCCCTGCAGGGCTTGGAACATATGGGGCTCCTTAGGATTGATCGGCCGACGCTTTCATCAGGCGCTTAGGAAGCATCCCAGCGTAAATTCACTTATTAATGCAGATTGGTCCTATGTAGAATGTAAAGACCTCGTGTCAGAAGAATGTGGCCCAATGCGCATAGCTACCAGGATGCACAGTGAAGCTCCGCACCGCCATGGCAGCCAGTGTATTCAACAACCTTGCCACCAAATCCGGATTGATTGTCTGATTGTCGGATTGTCTGCCGCTAGGGATGCTGGCTGGACCGAGGGTTCAACATGCTTGTTGCTAGACCTCTCGATTTTGGAGGCAATGACAACAATCCTAATCAGCAGCACCGGTACGAGCAACGAGGAATATCAATATTAGCACTCAGTTCAAGGGCTAACATGAAGAAGAAGCCCAGAATAGTAATAGTAGTAGCAATCATAGTGAGAAATAGTAATAGCAAACATTAAGAGTAAGTCGCAACAGTGGTACAGTAGTAGCAGTAGTAGCAGTAGTAGCAGTAGTAGCAGTAGTAGTAGCAGTAGTAGCAGTAGCAGTAGCAGCAGTAGCAGTAGTAGTAGTAGTAGTAGTAGTAGCAGTAGTAGTAGTAGTAGTCATAGAGTGATAGAAGTAGTAGTAATAGTTGACGGGTTTGATCCAGGGTTCAGAACATAGAAAAATAGTAGTAATCACTAGTAATCATAGAAATAGTTGTAATAGTAATAGTAGTTAGAAACAACAGCACATACAAGGCCGGCTGGGAGCGCCACGACGCGATGCAGCTCGGCCTTCAGGACACTCTTCAAGTTCGGAGCCTTAATACATATTAAAGAACCCCCAAAATAGTGTTGGTAATTATTTTGGCCTCTACGGTAGAAGGTTGCAGCACGGTTTCTTGTAAGGGCTTCTTTGAGGTTGCCTTGGGGATTTATGGGAATTGGTACGGATTTTTGCGGTGCCGTAAGGGCTTCAGGCGGCTGCTGCTGCATCGGCTGCTAAAGGGTTTTATGGTTCGGTTTCGCTGTTTGTTTTTGAGGTTGAGGCGGGTTTGTTTTGGTCTTGCTTACGGTACAACATGTTCAAGGTTCGGGGCTTTGGTTTTAGGTGGTGTAGGGTTTAACTGTAAGACCTTTGGTAAGGCTTGTTTCCCAAATGTTACGGCAGCGGTTTATCTAAGGTTGAAGACTTGAACCACACCCTGCGACTCTGCAAGCCCTCAAGCCATGGTCTCCTGTGAGTGGCTTCACCGCCTGGTAGCTAGTGCTGAAAAACCTTACAAACAGTGCTGAAAACCCTTGAAAATAGTGTTGAAAAGCCGTTTGAAATGGCATGTCCGAGAGCGAAAGCCCTAAACCCTCTGGAGGACGAGCCTGCTTTCGCGGATTTGTTGGAGGCCGTTCGCGAGGCCATACCCTCTCTGGAGCAGAAGGGTCTGTCACGCAGCTTTGGCACGAAGAAAAGTGGTGGTTGTAGTAGCCGTAGTCGTCGTAGCAGTATCAGGAGCAGCAGTAGTAGTAGTAGTAGTAGTAGTAGGAGTAGTCGTAGTCGTCGTCGTAGTAGCAGAAGTGGTGGTAGCAGTAGTCGTCGTCGTCGTAGTCGTCGCAGCAGTAGCGGCAGTCGATGCAGTAGTAGCAGTAGCAGCAGCAGTGGCAGTGGCAGTGGCAGTGGCAGTGGCAGTAGGAGTAGGAGTAGGAGTAGGAGTAGGAGTAGGAGTAGGAGTAGGAGTCGTCGTCGTAGTAGTAGTAGTAAGTAGGAGTAGGAGTAGGAGTGGGAGTAGGAGTAGGAGTAGGAGCAGAAGTAGTAGTAGGCGTCGTCGTCGTCGTCGTCGTCGTAGTCGTAGTCGCAGTCGCAGTAGTAGTAGTAGTAGTAGTAGTAGTAGTAGTAGTAGTAGTAGTAGTAGTAGGAGTAGGAGTAGGAGTAGGAGCAGGAGTAGGAGTAGAAGTAGGAGTAGTAGCAGTAGGAGGAGTAGTAGGGGTGGTAGTAGTAGGAGTAGTAGTAGTAGCAGTAGTCGTAGCCGTAGCAGTAGTAGCAGAAGTAGTAGTAGCAGTAGTAGTAGTAGTAGGAGTAGTAGCACCAGCAGCGGCAGCAGCAGTACTAGAATAGTAGTCAGTTTGCACTGCGTCACCGTCACTGCAAGCATCTCTTGGGTTCGCTCGAGTGAGAGTGTCAAAGCATCTCGAGTACAGATGACTGAATAACTACATTAGGGTTTTTGTGGTTTCGAACTATAGGTGTATGAGGGAATCTGAAGGAATAGTCGTACTAATTGTTCAGCCACCAGCAAGGATGGAGCGATCACAACTGGCCCAGTTCGCTGATCTGCATCCTACAACAGTATCCATAAATTTTCAGATCCTCAAAAGATCTGAGGAGTGCTCATGGGCCTCGGAGACACGCACGAGGACCTGCCCTTCGCTCATGCGACGACCCCTTATGCGCACCTGCAGAGGGTGGTCGCGGTAGCCGAAGCAGCCTGCCTCAGGCTGCAGGCTTTCTGGAAGGAGGGGTTGAACGGGGTGCAGGGGAGCGGGGCAGGGAAGGTCAAGTTGACGAGAAACTTTTCAACAGCAGTCGCCAGTGTTGTCGAGCTGCCAGGAAGCTACATCCGAGGATCTCGATGACAGGGATTTGGGATTTCCTCTTTTTGCACTGTCTCGCCTGGCCATCTACAGCGAGGAGCTTCACCGTCCAGCTTTGATGGTTGACTCACGAGCAACTAATTCCGTCCTTGCCATCACTGGCGATAAAGTATCATGAAGCATGTAGGGACATGTGAGCATCATCAATCACTTTACCCACCGTTCTGCATGCAGGCATATAGGTATGCAGGCAAGAAGTTTGTTTGTCTGTCTGTGTCTGTCTGTCTGTCTTAAGGTATGTATGTGATGTATGTATATATGTATGTGTGTATGTATGTATGTACGTATCAGTGCAATATGCTATGTATAATATGCATGTCTGTCTGACTGCATGTACGTATGTATGTAGGTAGGTATGTAGGTAGATGTGTGTATTTATATGTGTAGAAATTACGAGGCCCTTGTGAACGTGGACGATGATTAGTCTGTTGTCGATGTTAATGTCGCTGCCAGGATCTATGAGCCTTCTGAGTTTGAGGATAGTTGCCTCAAGTCCTACTTCTTTTTCTATACACGAAACCAATCCTGACGCTTGCGGCCTTCCTAAGGGTGTTCGCACCGGGGCCATGGCATTTCCCGAGTGGCCGAGGATATGGAAGATTCACAGCTTTGAATCCGGACCATTGAAGAGCCTTGTATATTACGACATGCGCAGAGGCTGTTCTTGCAGCGCGGAGGTGAAGTGTATAGGTCTAGGTACATATGCATGTATGTCCGCATAGGTATATGTTTACATGTATGCGTGAATGCATGCATGACTGTAATGAGTGTATGTTTGCATGTGTATGTATCAGCATGTCTATATGTATGGTTGTATGTAGAATGGTTGTATGTGTATTATGAGTTGAGAATGGAACATTCTACCCCGGTGCCAGCCGCTCCGCTTCACGACCCGTGTGCTGTGACCCCGAAGCATGCCGCCCTCACTGTGCGGCCCCTGCTGCCAGCCTCGTTAACCATGGGCTTGTAAATACGGGGTCGCCCTGCGCTTCTGCTTATTTCGTGAAAATTGGGCGGCTGTAGTTCGTCCGCTCTCGAAGCTTATGACTGTCAGGATTGGCTTACGCCGGCAATGTCTGAAAACATACGCACGCACGCACGCACGCACGCATGCACGCACGCACCCACCCACACACACACACACACATTGACCGACTGATATCGGGGATCGGGCATTATTTGGGGCAGGATACCTTCGCCGTGGGCTCCGCACATCTCGCGACAAAGATTAGAGGAGAGCTGCCCGCAGCAGCTCTGAGGCAGTGGCTCCTGGCTTGCAACAGCGTCAACCACTCCTTGGCAGAACATGAGACGCCGATAGCTGCATACAAGCCTTCTGGAGGTTGGGGGCAGGAGGAAGACAGCCGGCTACATCAAATGGCCGGGGCGTTGGTGGTGTTCAGGAACCCTGACCCGTTGCTGGCGGATGTACTTCGCGAAGTCCTGCGACGGCCTGCGAGCCAAATGAAGTCCAGCAAAGCCGTGGCCCTCTACGGTCTTCAGGCAGTGCGCTTGCTTAGTGAGGCCGGCGCCATTTGCACGTCGACGCTTCTAAGCGAAGCTTCCCTGACCACTGAGTTGGAGAGGCACTTGGAGGTGAAGTCTGGAAGAGTTCGACGGCGCTCGAAGTTGGAGACCGTGGTGGGCGAGGCCCTGCAGCGCTGCGGCTTCGAACCCGTGCACGATGTGCTGGCCGGCCCCGGCCTCTCTGCAGACTTTCGTTGTCTTCGCCGCGGTCGGAGCTTTTTTGTGGAGGCGCGGTGAGTTGAAGATGTTTAAGTTAAACGTAGTTAAACTCCTTGATACTGAAGTACCCTGCATAGAGGAAATTATGGACCAGTTCCGAAGTCCCCATTAGCCGGGTGAGGAAGTTTGCTCATCGATGGACTGCAAAGTCTTCAATGATTTCGAAATGCATACTCTGTGCATCAACGCTGAAAGCTGCCGACCGTCGCACCGCAGGTCGATGGCCCCTCACATTTCTGTGTGCGCCCTTTCTGGCGGCCCAGGGGCCGCACGGTGTTAAAACGCAGGCGTTCTCGCAGTCGAAATCAGAGGGTCACGATGTAGTGCCAGAAGGTATTTGCTTTAGTCAAAATTAATTTAAGTAAAAACTGTAGGGCTGCAAAAAGGCAACGCTTATATGGGGGTTTCGGTGTCTCGCTTTCGAGATGCGGGGATCAGCGGTACAGGTATGCGCAACTGTACGCACGAGTCACGGCAAACAGGGCATTCATTTTTATTGCTAGGTCCGGCCTTCTTTGGTTGCTACCGATGGTGAAATAAATCTGAATCCGCACATGCCTGCAAGCATGTGTACGCGCTGGTTGTGCATGTGCGGACATCTTTCTGCAAGTACGAACGTGTGCACATACATGGATTGCGTGCATGTCTGCATGTATGCAGTGTGCATATGTGTGCGTGGTGTACCGAGCGCAGGCTGTTTGCCTGCCTGGGCTATCCGTTGGTCTCTTGGCGATCTCCGGAGTAAATGCCATAAGGTAGGGTTTTTGGGTCAGGATTGTAAAGTTTCAGGCTCTTGGGCCTTAGGATTTTCGGGCGAATGGTAACAACATCAAATTGGTAATGGTAATGGCACAAGAGGTCGTAATGCACGGTGGTCATGATCATCGGCATCATCTTCATCGTCACCATCACATGGCAGTTGCTAGCGATAATGTGGTTCAAAAGGTGTAGAAGTTTTCACTATGTGATGACTTCAATGTTTGACTTAACACAGGCGTTGTGTTGGCTCAAAAGAAAAACACATCCTGTCAGATATCGAGGTGTTATCAGGTCGAACAGCTCTTTGCTTCTCAAGATCCAAAACGGCAAAAGCGTGCTAGCCTGAACGCATCAGGCTTGAGGGTTTGGGGTTATATGGTTATGTCATGTTCCAGCGCCATGCTGGCCTTCACAAGGCTTAGCTCTGGATCTGTCAGTTGTAGCCTCAAGGAGCCCAGGATGCAGACAAAGGCAGTGGTTAAGCCCGCACAAACGGAAAGCCATAAACATCGGATAACCCTTACATTAACCTTAAGTCTTGAACCCCAAAACCCTGCAATGCGGGCTCGTCCTAGCTGGGAGGCATACCATAATGGGCACCAAAACACTCCCAAAACCTTATTCTGATATTATAAGGCCCCTATGTTAACCAGATGGAGGTCTCCGTCCCGTACTGGCTCGCGGCGGCCCCGGGCGCCTACGCGCGCCGGGATCTGCCTGCTCGGCCCCCGAGCCTGGAAGCCGGCCAAGAGGAGATTCAGCGCCTTGTGACGAGGCCATGGACCCGACGGTTTGTGAGGGTAGGGTTTGGGGTTTCAGTTGAGCCTGAACAAGTCAGTGCCAAAGGGTACTATGTGCATACATGATGTGCAGCTTGCGAGCATCATAATTAGTTGACGTCTTGCTGCGATGTTGTGCTTTCCTTCTAGGTTCGCTGAACGCTCTCGTTGGTATCATCGTTGTTGAGGCGGTGCTTGTTGCTACTACTACTACTACTACTACTACCACTACTACTACTACTGAGGCAACAACTACCACTGCCACTGCCACCAGTACCAGTACTTCCACTGCTGCTGCTACTGTTACTTCTACTGCTGCTACAACAACAACTAGTACTACTACTACTACGACTACTACAACAACAACTACTACTACTACTACTACTACTACTACTACTACTACTACTAGGCTCGCAATGCAGTAGAGCCTGGTGGGACTTTTTTCGATTGCGCATGCGGTACTGATGAAACGGTTCGTTTGTTTGTTTACCTGGCGGCCATAGTCCGCTTCTAAAGCCTCGCCAGGCCTTCTTGCATTCTAGCTGCCGTAGTAGTGTCACTGTACTGTAAAGCCTTGTAGACCTGCCTTGCGAACATGGGCTGAAGTAGCTGTCGCTTTGCCCTGCAAATTTGCAGCCCTGTGGAGCCCTCCACGTAGTGACTAATCGACTGTGCCTGGACTTTGTTGTTTTGGGAAGGTGGAGAGCCCTACAGTCCTGTGATACCGAGTGAGACTTGTTGCCTGCAGCGCGGGTTCGCGAGAGTCCGACAAGTGGGAGCCAAAAAACTACTACTACTACTACTCCTGCTGCTGCTACTACTACTACTACTTCTACTTCTACTTCTACTTCTTCTTCTACTACTACTACTACGACTACTACTAATAGTGCTGTTGACAAAAATACGTTTACGACTAGTGCTAGTGCTAGCACTAGCACTCGCACTTGCACTCGAACTCGCACTACTACTACTACTACTACTACTACTACTACTACTACTACTACTACTACTACTACTACCACTACCACTACCACTACCACTACGACTACTACTACTACTACTACTACTACGACTACCACTACTACGACTACCACTACTACGACTACCACTACCACTACCACTACCACTACCACTACCACTACCACTACCACTACTACTACTGTGTGGGTGGCACCCACCTTCTGCTACTGCTACGTCGACTACGGTGAGGACTACTACTATTACTTCTAAGTTTCGGCAGTTTACTTTTGCTCATTATTTGTATATTGCATGTATCACTGGTATGATCATTCTGTTGGCATGGTTATATCTCTGTAATTTTCATCAGGGTTTTGGCTTGAATTGCACAACAGCGTGCTGCCAATAACCCCAGTGCTCCCGCTTTGCAGCCACGGTTAAGAGTCCTTCGTGGCATCGCAACCTACGAGCACGACGGCATCGCACTCGTGTGCGAGTCCATCGGCACCGCCTTCGAGGTCTGCCGCCACTACCGTGGGACTTGCTATTCCTGCACTCCCACCACTCCCGTCCAGCCTTCAAGGAGCTCATGGGCTGGAAGGACAAGTCATGGAGGGGACAGGAACGGCCCGCCGCCCCTTCAAGTGGTGCTGCGCCCTGGCGATCGCAACTCTGGCGTGGAGCCAGGTCACCCAAGGGTGGACTGCCGCGATACGACCAGATGCAGCCGGTTTCACAAGGTACTCATACTCATGCCTTCACCTCGGAGGAGACAGAGGCCGCAGCTGGATTTTCGAGGGAAATCCAAAAGGCCCTTGCTACAACCAAGAGATGCGATGGGCGCATTCGCAAGCTCCACGAGGAGAAGCAACATCGGCAGGCACAGTGGCGCACATACGAGGTGGAAATGAAGGCTACCTTCAACCGCAACCAACGCCAATATCTTGCCGATTTGGACAAGTTGGACCAGGAGGTCATGCAGCTGCACCAGCAAGGTCAGGAAGCTGCTATGAGGATGAAGCAACTTTACCAGCAGGGCCCAGCTGCCATGCCCGAGACGGATACTGGCAATGGGGAGTCTGCTTGGGACGAGTTGATGACGCGAGAGGGAGAAGAACGTCCGGTGACCCAGTTCATGCAGGATGCCATGGCGATTTCACAACAGTTCCGTGGCATGCAGGGACATGCCAACTATGGAGGAGCGGCCCTCCCTACCTTTGGACCTGCAGAGCCGACAGCGAATGCAGGCGGGCCCCCCCAGGTTCCACAGACAGCGTACAATGCAGTCTCCCCAAAGCAGACTCATGTGACAAGGGAATGTGGTTCAGAGAATCCCTATCCGGCGAGCCAGCATGTTCCGCCACAGGGAGTCTTGGCAGAGAGGAAGGGCCGCGTACCTCCCCTCTCCATCCGGGGCAGAGGAGCCACAGTCGGACGAGGGTTCCCACACACATGGAACCACCCCGCGACGACATCAAGACCGCTACCAAGAATACTCAGCCTACGCCGACGACGGGACAACGGGCGATCCAGGCCAAACTGGAGCACAAACGCAGTGCTATGTTACCATTTGGAGGATCGGACCCCTTGCGTGCCACAGGGGCCAATCCGTCACAGGAGGGGCTAGTATCCCATGGTCCTCTTGTCGACGACGACGAGGACGACGAAGCCTCGCGTGCCAAGGAAGGCTCCCTGGGCAATCTGGAGTGACAGCCTCCACAGTCGATTTGTGCGACGACGATCCCTGGTTGCTTTTTCTCCTATGGAGGTCGTCACGCTTCAGAGATGAGTTTCCAGTGAGGAGGCACCTTGTTTTCCGTAGACGGCCACCAAGGGCGAATCCTCACTTCATTGATTGGGATGACAGGCCCAAGGTTCCAAGCACTACGATTCATGGCTGCCATTGGGGGCAGCCCTCTGATTTGTGTGCGAGTGCTACCCGGGGTCAATGTCACTCATCCAATGATCATGAGACTTCGCCTCCTTGGGGACCGTGGTGTCACGCCAGTCGATCCTGTACAGGTTCCTATTCCAGGTGCTTTTCTTGCGGACCTTGGATTTCTGTCGCCTGGACTTCTTCATCCTCGGCAGAGCGCAGTGCTGGGTTTGCCTGCGACTCCTGCCCCCGCCTGGACACCTTTCCACAGGTGAGCACCTATGATTGGAGCAATCGCGCCACATGTTTCGGCAGCACTCCTTCTCCTCACCAGTGCCAGGCAGCCTACCCCTGTGGTCAGGCTACCCAGTTTTGTGTATCCCTGCGGTCCTGTCAAAGCATGTCCTCACGGGCACCAAAGAAACGTATCGGTGGTTCGGGGACGTTCGCCGTGAGACATGCCAGGTCGCTCCTTCTTGCACACAGCCCCAGTCGACCCCTCGGGTTTAGTCCTCTCCCACTTGGGGTTTATAGAACCAGGTCACACTCTACAGCATTTGCCAGTTACCTCCTGAGTCTCCTGCAGGCTGCTGAGCAACTCCTGGTCCCCCTCGCCAGGGCAATCTTGTCCCTCCTCTTCCTTGTGTTGTGGCACGGCTTGTGGAGGCAGTCTCCAGATCGTCACCATCCTTTGGGATGTTTGCTTGGGTTCCCCTGTCGCGGGGCTAATCCTCGCCTCCTTCTCTGTTTCAGGTGTTGCTCTCCTTCGCAACAGGCGTCAGAAACAACGACTTGCAGACGCTGTAAACAGAGCAGACATCGGACAAGAGTTTGCAACAGGAGCCGACCTCTGTCGTGGAACTGGCTTTTGGCATGGTGCCTCACAGTTCTTCATTGTCCGACATGTGTTTGGGCAGCCCCGGAGTGGCTTACCCCGCTCGCTGAGACTGCCGAAGAACATCTTGGTCACCACGTACTTACAAGGGCTTCTGAGTATTCTAGGGTTCCGGATGCTGACCCTGATGAACTTCCACATCCCCAGCCTAGAGAGGTTCACCCTGCTGCCCCTACTGTTGACCTTCAAGAACCCGACCGCAGGCGCCCCCACGAAATTCCTATTGAAGAGCTTGCTGACCTGGTAGGTCCACCCCTTGACCCAGGTCGAGTATGGTCCGTCTCTACATCAGAAAACCTGTGGGATCTTGACGCACCAGGGGAGTTACCACAACCCCCTCCTGGAACCCAATGGCTGGGAGTAACGGTCCTTACGCCACACCACCTACCAGTCAGACTTGCCATTCGCTGCAGGCCTGACCAACAGGTCGAACATGTTGTTGAGACTATCCTTGCCGAGGCGCCAGGTGTCCAATCAGGACTGTTCGATCGGTGTGTTCCTTCCAGACCTATCAGGTTTCGGGGGTTTGGAACTTTTCTCAGATTCTCATCGGCTCCCCTTGAGAATGCTGATGGCCCTCATGCGGCGGTCATCCTTGATCTGACTTACATAGGCGCAGAATATTATGCTTGTTTGCTGCCTTGTACCATCGCGTACGATGTCATTATGGACCATGCAATCAAGCAGTCGACGTATTCGGAAGAGCCTGTTTTCGTGCATCTTGGTGAAGACCCGAGGCCCATTCCAGAAGACACACCGCTACATCTCTCCAACGGCGATGTCCTGACGTTTCGCAGAGCACCACAGCCATGGCATCCCCGACTACGGATCGACAGCTTATTTGAGGATAGGTCTGCTTGGGGTGCTCCCCATTCCCTTCCGACTTCCCATCCGACCAAGGGTCTTCTAGTGCTTCATGACCTTGAGAGGGCATTTGTTCCACCACATCACCATTATGGACGCAATGCACTTGAGGCGGTACATTCCATTTTCGGGTATGACAGTGGACAATGCACCATCGGAGTATTTAGGACCCCCAACTTAGACTTCAGAGGCAATCGTTGTACACATGTTGCCTGTGTTGCGCGGGTTCCTAGAGCCGAACCTCACAATCCTGCACTTGCCGTCGGTCGCCTCTCTGTTTGGGTACCACCTTGCCACTCACAGAAGGTTTGAGGTTCTGGATGGATTAATTGACAATGGCGAGGTTCCCGTGCAGGAACTGGACACGGTTGTGGTCCACTCCTCCATCGCTCCAGGTGTGTCGGTCGATACCGATCATGCTGCACATCAGGGGGATCAGCCCGATGACTCCGAGGATGAGGACATGCTGCCTACTCGTGAGCTAGAAGCTCGGCT